GCTTCATTCGGAGCGTGATGGGTTTTGTGGGGGTCTCAGGGGTAGTTCAGTGGTCTCCGGAGGTTCGAACGCACCTGAGGCTCGTCGTTCTAGACAATTTGTGAAGAGCGAGATGGTGGTATCAAGCGGGATACGAGATCCTCCGGCGGCAGATTCAGTTCGGGGAGGGCCACCTGGGCTAGGGATACGACTCGGGACGCGGGTTGTTGAGCGACTGGGCTGTCTAGTCCCTGGTAGGCTGATGGACGCGAGTACAGCTGCTCGTAGCGGCCGTCCTGACTCAGTTGTCGTTGAGAGGGGAGTCACTAAGCGAACCTGGATGAGCGCACCTTGTTCCGCCTCAGGTCGTATGTGGTGTGGGAATTGGGACCAGTCGGTACCGCTGTCGACCCCGTTGTCCAACCGGTGAGGGCAGGGTTGGCTCGGGCAGATGTGCCACTGCTGATAGTTGTGGTTGTAGTGCTGGTCTTCTACGGCGACAAGATAAAAGCCATGGAAAAACGGGCTACAATCCAGGATGGAAAGGTGGGGGAGACAGTGATAAACGGAGTGTTAAACGTGGGAGGGCGCTGGTGCCTGTGAGGTAGTTTCGACCTAATGTTACGACTGACTGTCGAGCGAGTAAGTGGAGACGAGCGAGGCAGGCAGGAGCGCCAATGAGCTCTGATCGCAGTGAGACTGGAGCAGAGCTCAACAGGCAGGACTGGAGACAAGTTGTGTATTGAGCGAAGTATCTACAGAGCAAAATACACAATGGCTTACCTGGAGACAAGAGGTCGAAACTAGAGTCTCCAGGTAGCAAGGGATCCAGCTATATACAGGGAATGAACAATGGGCGCTAGAGAACAATAGCGTCACCATGGGTATGGAGTACAAGGGATGTAGGACAACAGCGGTCATGGGGACAAAGGGAGCTATTGTCCGTGTGTGGACAAAGGGAAAACATAGCGAGTAGTGAACAATAAGGAAACGTATGAGGCAGTGGTCCGAATCGAAAAGGAAATGTAGCACCGTAGGGGCGGTTCGTGACAATCATAGCTATGAACATTCTCTTGCTCAAATCACCACAAAACACAACATTAGGCTTCTCCAAGATGAACTTCGCCTTTGTCACCCTGGATGTCTTCACTCACCAGAAGTTCACTGGCAACCAGCTCGCCATTGTTCTGGTCCCAGTGGCTACTCGTAGTCTTCTGACCGAGGAGCAGAGACAGAAGATTGCGATAGAGTTCAATTACTCCGAAACCGTCTTTCTGCACGAAAATCCCCCTCGCTCAAAAACCTTAGACTGCAACCACCACCATGCACAGCATTGGTGCCTGCGGCGTGCCCCCCCTCAAGTGGGGGCCCAAGGGGCGGGGTGTATCACCCTTGCTGAGATGTCGTCTGCGACCTGGCCACCAGGCGGAGGAAGGACCTTGAGATTTTAGGTCGACGTAGGGGAGATGAGGACCCCCCGCGAGGCAAGAGGCCACATACACGCAACCCGCAGAGACGGTCCTATAGGGAGAGAAGGCCTCCTGTCACACTAGTCGTAGCAGAAGTGTTATAACTCATGTTGAATCATGACTGTTGCTAACATTTGACATCGAGGAGACACTTGAACAACTGTAGGGATACGCCGACGCTGCGCCCAGAGGGGCGGAGACGAAATTAAGCGCCAGCGAGCGAAGCCCTCCCCTCAACCCCGGCGAAAGACTGGAGTTGCCATCGATAACTGATGACCGAGCACAGGTAAACTCTCACCCTGATCCTGCCCCGTATGAGGAAAGAGGTGATGTCGGTCCCTATGATGTCGTAGGGCGGGCAGATTACATGTCAGTGTATAAGAAGCAGTGACAGACTTTGATCTTAGTAACAACAATGGTCTCACCCCCGTCTCCCTCGTCAACCCCACAGACTCCCAGCACGCTAGCGGAGGTCATTGGCAAACGCCCTCATCATACAACAACGGAAGGCCTGCGTAAGAAGGGTCCAGGAGACAACGCAAGCCCAACTGAGCAGCCCGAGACTACACAGCCCCGGCTGATTCCTGAGAGCGGAACACATACAGTCAACACTGTCGCTACCAGTGAGCCCCGTCCCACCTGCACCATGCCGTCAAGAGCGCCGCAAGGCACGGTCAATGTACTGCCGCTCCTCAAGTTCGACCCCACTGATTTTGCAGGCCTCCCCACTGTGCAGGGTGAAAACCCGCACATCCAGCAGACACGCAGGGGTCCCACCCCCACCCTCCTGAAACAAACAACTCGCATCTACACGGATGTCGAGTTCCCCCATGCCTATATCCCCGCATGAATGCTCTAGGCCAGCGTCACCTACAAACAACTCGAATACATGGACAAACCGGAACAGGCCGGACGCATCCTGGCCATCGTCCCCCACAGTGGGGGCCAGAGGTTCCTCCTCGAACGCAAGTCCTTCACAGAGGACATCGCAACTTTCTTGTGCTCGCTGCGCTTCAGAGAAGAAGGCTCCACCTCCGACATCGGCCTGAAGGTCTTTACACCGGTAGCGGCGCATGGCCTCGACCGCGCCAAAAAGTTCTCCCCTCCCTGGACATACTTGCTGGAGATTCCCCAGGGCGACACGCTCCTGCGCCAGTTCCTCCTATGGCAGGAGGTCTTTGTGATCCATACCACCCTGTTGTTCTCAGTTCACGACCTTAGGGAGCCGTCCCCTCTGTGGACGGTCCTAGTTCTCACAGGGACGCCCGGGGCGGTCGCTGACAACCCTGATGCCATTAAAGAAATCCTGGCGGACATCAAGAGCGCTGCCTGGGCTGACGGCCAGTTCTGTAACTTCGTAGTGGACTGTGTCGAAAAAAACTGGGGCCACACTGGGGACTATGCCTCATGCGTCAAAGCTGCGACAGACACTCTGGACTTGACCTTAAGTCGTGGCAAAAGCCACAGATCGGAACAGCTCATCGGGTGCTACGTTCTCCTAGCAAAGCCGATCTCGCCCGATCGTGAGGAACTCAAAACTTTCAGTAAATTCCTGGCGGTGCCCGGTGTCTACTGGAGGGGCCCCTACGCCCTCGAAGTCAACAAAGTGAAGGTTGAGTGCAAGATGTGCAGAGATGTCACTCACTGTCTGGACGACTGCCCCCTCCCGAGCACGCCGAGTTGGCAGGGCACCCCCCCCCCCACGACGCTAGGGGGCGCTGGGGTGGCAACCTCGACAGTGTCCGCCCCCACGCTGGCGGAACAGGTGAATAACATCTGGCGGGACACTCCGCGACGTGGTACAAACTCAGGCAGACGCCGCAACAGGGGCGGAGGCCCTAGACGGGGAGGAGGTTCCACACTGAGCTGTAACTGACTCACGGGGTGACCATAGTCAGAGTCCATTGTATGATATGTTACGCTGAAGTACTAACACAAGTCTATCCAGACTTATCACGCGGACTTTATCCAAGTACGCGGTGTAGCATACGGGGGAGAGAGTATCGCACAAGTCTCTAGATTGAGGGATATAGGGATACAAGAGGTAACGAAGAGGAGAACAGAAGTGGGGAGCCTCTACCGACTACGGGCCTCCTTATATACTATGGGGTACCGACCGTATTAGGAAGGGAAAGGTAACCGACCAAAGTGGGGAGGTATGAGGAGACTGTAAAGGAACACGTCTGGTCGAGGCTGGGCCCGGTATAGTACACGACCTAGGTCAGGGTCCTGTGATATAACCGAAAGGGGATAGAGGCGGGACAGGGTCCTGAGTCTAGGTCAGGGTCCGGTAATGTAACTGAAAAGGGAAGGGGGCGCGACCAGGGTCAGCGTCTGGATCAGGGTAAAGTAATGTAACCGAAAAGGGAAAGGGTCAGGGTCAGACTCAGGGTCCGGTCATATAGACGAAAGGGGAAATATTAAGGGAGAGGGCCGGGACTAGGAACGCAGTTGTCAGGGGGCGGAATGGGGGGTGGTAGTGTACAGGCGGACGACAGGGGAACGGGAGGGTAAACATAGGTCGCCGGGAACAGGAAGGGGGGTGGAATGTACACGAGGACGACGAGAAGGAGTAGTCCAATAGAAAAAGATAGGGGGTGGGGCGTACCAACGGTAACATGATACACCGTTTGTAGAGAGCACATTTCGAAATGGCACACAGTTGATCGCAATTTTGACGTTGTCGATGGTATTGGAGGACTCCCTCGCAGTGAGGAGAACATTGCGAACAACGTGGCCTTGCTCCCAGGAGGCAAGGCGGCGGGCGACAGGCTGAATTTACTGACGGGTAATCTCGGACAGGTAAGCTCCGACCGCGCCAAGCAAGTATCCGATTGCTGCTCTTCGTTCGTGCTGTCTCCTGGCTGGGCACAAGAACGGGAGGAGCATCACCAATAAACTAACCTGGCATAGATTTTTGTAGGCCTAGCAAGTCACATAATGGCCCTATTTTGCAACGATCACAACACACAATGAAACCCGGCAGCTACAGCAGCAACCACGGCTCCTCCCTACGGCACCTGGCACCACCCCTGCCTCTGGCGGGAGTGCGATGACTTCGCTCACTGGAGTTGTGTCAGCCGGAGCCGCACGGCAATGCACCAAGGATGGCGAGCGTCATACGGATGGCGGATCAAGTCCTGGCAGAGATAGGGAGGGCGATGTACTGCAAGCCGAGATAGGCAGGTGCACGCCCGATGACCCTCTGGGACAGAGCGAGGCCAGAGAACCTCACGTGAATGAACCGGCAGGGAGATGCCGTAACACCTCAGATATCAATGGTGTACCCCCGTCAGACGGCGGGTCCAGCTCTCAGCAGAGGACTGAAGAGCGGGGTCGATCCCCATCCCCACTGAGTGTGGGCCCACGAGCGAAGAGGCGAAGGGCTGAAGCTCTCTCCTGGAAGACAGCGATCCAAGTTGCCTCCTTGAATATGGATGGCTATGGATTGTCTGTCCCCGACGCCCCCAATAATAAGTGGGGGAAAATATATAGATTAATGAAAGCCAATCATATGAATATACAAGATACATGTACAAGTTCAGAGTGTTTGTCTTCTCCATATTTCATAGATACTCTACCCTGTAACTCTAACTTATGCAGAAATCTTCAGAAGTGCTGCTATGTGACAAAATGCTGGTAACTTATAACTTAAACTCTTCGCTGAATAGGTTCTTTACCCCCTACTTGTGCTTGTCAATTATATAAGTATAATATCTACTATACTTCCATGCTACTCAAAAAACTCAATTCATTACCATTGGTATGTCTCTCCTATCTTTTTGTTCTATGCCTCCTGCTCTTCATTACCCACTTATACACTAGCTACCCCCACTATCCTTGACAACTCATATGCATCCTTCATTCTCCTCAGTCATCCACCTATACACTATCCTCCCCTTTTAGTCTCCTGACAACTGTCGAGCCCTGGCCCAGGTCATGTACTATACTTTTTCCTTTGTCGTCTACATGGCTCACTTTTAACCCAGACCCTGCATCCTATCTCACCTCTTTTCTCTTTTGATCATACAACCTAACTGTTACAGTTTTCTCGTGCCACGTGACCTGGGGGTCATGTGTACTGGGACAGACGCTCACCTTGACCGCGGACAACTCGTATCAGAAAGTGGAGGGGCCAGGATCAAACCTCAGGCCTCATGAGGGCTGGGAGCACCCATCACCACTCACTGGCAGGTGACTGGTGTGTCAGCGGGAGCGCTTACTCATTGGAAGGAGTCCAGACTCAGCACAACTCAGGTATTAGTCGCAAGGTCACTATGAGGCAGGTCAGAGGGGGGGGAACATGAGGCGGAGAACTCTGACCAAATGATGGTCAATAGGTACCTGGTCTGTGCACCATTGTATTAGTATATATAGTATCTAAGGCAGGTAAACTCAGACTTGATCTTCTCATCGATCTCCCATCTCCTCTGTAGGTAGCTAGCAGCTCTACCTTCCACTGCCCCTTCTAGTCTAGAGAATCCATATCTTTGCATCATCCCTTGCTGTGTCACCTGGAGTTGCTTCGCCCCTCAGCACCAACCCCATTACCAGTAAGCTTGTCTTTGTTTATCTGGTGGCACAGCTCGTTGGCTGTGAGACTAACATAGACCTTGTTTTGTCTCTATTCCCTTTTAGCTATATAATAGGACTCTGGGCTTGATCATGTACTATACTTGTCTGTTCTCTTTCCTCAGTTCAAGAGTCCAGCCTCATCTGGACCTGTCTCTCCTAAGCCTCCTTATATCTCACTACTTTGGATAGTTCTCCTACCTTCTTTAGTTGGTCACTTTCCTATAGTATATAAGGAGGCCTGTAGTCAGTAGACGTCCCCCAGTTCTGTGTTCCTCTTAGTTACTCTCCTGTATTTCTAGATTTCTAATCTAGGAACTTGCACAATACTTCTTCCTCTGTGTGCTACACCACGTACTTTGTTAAGTTTGTGTGATAAGTCTGAATAGACCTGTGTTAGTACTTCAGTGTAACACAATTGATGCTAGACCAAATAGACTTTATTTATACTATGAAGCAAATCTGAGCTTGATCTCATTCTAAAAACTCATGTTACAACTGACTGTCGAGCGAGTAAGTAGAGACGAGCGAGGCAGGCAGGAGCGCCGACGAGCTCTGATCGCAGTGAGACTGGAGCAGAGCTCAACAGGCAGGACTGGAGACAAGGTGTGTATTGAGCGAAGTATCTAAAGAGCGAAATACACGATGGCTTATCTGGAGACAAGAGGTCAAAACTAGAGTCTCCAGGTAGCAAGGGCTCCGACTATATACGAGGAACGAACAATGGGCGCTAAGGGGACAATGGTGTTGCCATGGGCACCAAGTATAAGGGCGTAGGACAATAGCAAGGGGGAAACAAGGGGGGGCTATTGTCCGTGTGCAAACAAGGGAACACCACGCTGAATAGAGAACAATGGGTGAACGTACAAGGCAGTGATCAGAATGGAATGGGAAATGTAGCCCCGTGGGGGCGGTTTGTGACAACTCACATGCTCAAATCTAACACTCTATCTCATTTTCAACATCTTAAGCTGACAGCCAATGATTATAATGCAGTTTGATGACTCTAGCCAATCACAATTGTGCTATCTCTGAAACTGATCAAGTTGATTTTACTGCTTTCACTGTAGTCAAAATAGGTGGAGTCCTACTTGTGAAGCCTGCACTGAAGTTTTGGATTTTTATGATGGTCTCATGTTCTATTTGAAGTTCTGGTAATATTCCCCTTTAAAACAAACTATGGTGTGACATGGTCCATTCAACTCCATTGCTACCATAATTCAAAGCTTATGAGATACTTAGAATGATTCAATACACTGGAACTCCTGCGACTATAAAGATAATACACCATGTTGCAGATGGTCCTGCCACCTACTTCCTAAACCATCCTGACCACCATCAATGTCACTCTTATCTGCTCTACGCTGCACCACAACACTTGGAACCAGAGAATAGGCCCTGAGGCGGCTGCTCTGTATGAGCCACGAAAACGCTTGATCGAGGGCGCGAGAATATGCGAAGGGTGGGTGAAGCAGATGGAGAAGAAGGCGAATAGCACCGGTGTGGCTGAGAGCGTATGCATGGGTGCATTTGGGGGCGAAGGAAGGGTGAACCGTGGTCTCCACAAAGTTGGACGACCCCACGGCTGGGTAACGTGATTCGTTAGACCAGCAGTGACCTGTGATACCCACACAATGAGTGTATGCACTAACGGAAGACAAGGTACCACTTGCCCAAGAATACGATGTCCCAATCGCTCGGTAATTGCGGCCAAAGAACTTCCAGTCTTCGCCCTACATCGCGCTCCATGTCGACGTCATCCTCAAGGAACAGCGCAGGACCTCCAGAGCGGTCGACTTCACCAGCAAAACGGAAGATCGCCGTAAGATGGGAATACCAGCAAGCAAGCTTCGGTGGGGTGAGCAGCATATAGGCCGGTAGAGAAGGTTTGAAGTCAACGCCGTCGCTGTGGTTCGTGACCGCGCAGGTGAGAGGCGTAGGGGAAGACGATGTAGGTTGAATTGATAAAGGTGCGCGAGACTGGGGGGGTATAGACAATGGTGCGATTGGAACGCGGGCGTATCCTCCAGAGGGAGATATAGGGTCTTCGTTGGCAGAGAATGGAGCATCGCAAGGAGTAGAAAGCACAGACAGTTCCATCCTGTTCAGCAGGCCAGCAACAGAAATTTCAGAGACCAGAGTATCGAAGTCCGGAGGCCATTCAAAGAGATGGTGAGGGTTTTGTCGCCGTAAAAACCGTACACAACCACCTATTTTCGCCACAAGCGTATCGTCGGGTGAGATAGCATCGACGTATGTCCAATGAAGTGCAAGGGATTGACGTAGTTGCTCCATGGCGGCACGACGGTCGAGACGGGCGGGACGGGAGATGACGAAGATCCGAGAGAACGTTTCGAGCGTACTGGAGTGGCTGTTTCCCAGCGGTCGTACGGACAGATGCTCTCCCGAGCGCAGGTCCTCGTAGTGGCTAGAGCTGCCTGACGGGGCGAAGAGGCGGAGGCGTCGAGACAGGGAGCCGGGCGTGCGAAGGGCGAAGAAGACGTAAGCCGCAAATGCACTGGAGCAGAGTACAAAGACGGCCAAGAGAGGTATCAGACTTAGCTGTCGGAAGGGATGACCTATGCGCATGAGGCCAGAGGGTCCAAGACAGCGGCGACGACTTGAAGGTGAACGGAAGAGGTGTTGGGCGCCTCGGGCGCCATCGTTGTCTGGGGCGCGGTACGGGTACCAAATCAGGAAGCAGGCAAATTCGGGGCGCGAAAGCGCGTCGAGCGGACGCCATCATTATTCTCGAGTACCAAGTACTGTCCCTGCAACTTCCTCTCGACCGACTCTGCCAGCCCAGAACCAATTGCCCCCAGCCATGGGCAAGCACGCTCGGAAGAAACAGAAGATATCCGATCAAGTAGAGGTCCAACCCCTCGGAGCATTGGCTGCCTTCGAGGACCCAGGGGCGAAAGACGAAGAAGAGCTTCGACTTGAGAGCTTCCTCTTCGGTTCAGCTGATGAATATGCCGCCCCAGTACACGACGACCAACCAGGCTTCACCGACGACGTCTTCGTCGACGATGGTCTTCATGCGGACCCAACGCACGGCACTGGCCAAAAACAATCTGTCTGGACCGACCCTGACGACCCCGCTCTCGAAGTCTCTCTCGCCAGCGACAAACGACGACGGAAACTGCGCGATGCCCTCGCAGAAGACACTGTTGACGGCCACGAATACGAGTGTCGCCTTCGACGACAGTTTGAGAAGACTAACCCCACGCCGGACTGGGCGACGAAAGCTCGCAAACGACTTCATACCACCGTTGCAGGCAAACGGAGGCAGGTATCGATAGGCTCCGAGCCAGAGGAGGATAGTGAACAGGAAGGCTTGGGTCCGGGTTTGGATTCTTTGCTTTCGGGTACGGGATCTGTTGTTGCTGGACGTCATGCCCGCGTCCTTCCACAAGGCATTCTTGCAATCGAACGACTGCGAGACGCGAATCTCTCTGCCAAAGCTGAAGGAGAAATCAACGTCGTGCAATTCCATCCCTCTCCTCAAGTACCGGTTCTTCTTACTACAAGTTCAGATCGGCGGCTACGCCTCTTCAATGTACGTGATCCTCATACTTGTGCCGGAGTCCATTCTCAGAGCGTGCGCAGGTGGATGGTCATACGAATCCCCACCTCCAAACCTTACACATTCCCGCACTTCCTCTCAACAATGCTACCTTCCATCCCGGTGGTACCTCCGTTCTCCTCACCGGACCGCGGCCCTTCTATTATACATACGACCTGCAGACCGGCACCACCCAGCGTTCGCCCCGTGGGCTGTGGGGCACTACATTCACCAACACCAACCAAGCTGCCCAAGATGGGAGCATGGAGGTGTGTGCATTCGATAAAACAGGCTCCGTTCTGGCAGTGGCGGGTCGGAGAGGACATGTGCACCTCGTCGACTGGCGCACTGGAGGTGGGCAGGTCGTGGGTAGCGTCAAGATGAATGCGGGTGCCAAGTCACTCTGGTGGTCTGGCGAGGAGCTGTTGACCCTAAGCGAGGATTCGGAGGTATATGTGTGGGATGTCGGCCAGCGGAAGTGTGTCCGGCGATGGAAAGACGATGGCGGCTACGGCAGCCAGCTACTGGGTGGTGATCGGACGGGCCAATATCTTGCCATCGGGTGAGTGCAAACGTTACGCAGGATATCCATTGGCTCAATGTTGCGCAGCTCCAAGGTTGGCTTCGTCAACGTCTATGGTTCGGATGCAGCCCAAGGCAGCATAGACCGACCCAAGGCGCTCAAAAGCCTCGGCAACCTCACGACGACAATCACCTCATTACGATTTAACCATGACTCCCAACTGCTTGCCATCGCGAGTAACGTGAAGAAAGACCAACTGCGTATGGTGTGTGCCGCTTTGATAATTGTTGTCAACAAATATACCAATGCTCTCCTCCTGGAATCAGATACATTTGCCTTCCCTAACCGCGTTCTCCAATTGGCCAACATCCAGCACCCCGCTAGGCCATGTGACGAGTGTGGATTTTTCGGCGAGGAGTGAATATGTCGCAGTCGGCAACAGCCGTGGGCGCGTACTGTTGTATCATTTACGGGATTTCAGCGCGACTTAAGTCGTCCCAATGTCACGAGTGTCACATCGGGACATGTGCAGGCACCATAGACAGTTTATGAGCCTTTGGGCAGTTTCACTTGGAAAGTACCTACGGTAGGACAGGATCAATCATGACATCTCAATCGTTTTCAATTGTTGAAGGGGCAGCTTACATTGTGGCAACACCGTTACTTCAGGCACTACCGTGGCCTGGTAGCCGAGTCTGCCAAGGGCACCGCGAATGATCCCAGCAGGCATGGCGACATACTATAGCGTTGTCAGATTACCCTGGTAGTTGCGGGTGGTGTCTGTAGATGAGACGTACAACTCTGGCTCGTTTGAGCGACTCTGCCCGCCCCTCCCAGCCGGATATCCGAGTCAGGGGCTTGAAGGAGTTATCTTGCAGGACATACACTCCCTTTCCTGGGTTCAGACGTGACACAATAGATCCACAGTGGTGAACGTACTCGATGATTCGTTCTCAAGTTATCGACCTGTTTCTCCCAACAGGCATTCCACAAGTCTTTGCAGATGAACTTAATTGCATCCAAGGTGTCTGAGAATAGTCCGCGTTCATGACAGAGGCTAATGTGACTTCTAAGAGAGAGGGAGAGCAAAGTGAGCGGGAGGACTTACCGCTCAGCCATGTTTGCTCCGACATGCATACCGATGGCTTCTAGGCGGGCTCGGAGCTCTTCGTCATCTTCACAATTGCCATCCTTGGATACGGGATGGAGAGATGCATCGCTGCCGATAGAATCTCGTAGCTGGCTTTTCTTGAGAGTAGGAGGAGCAGGGGCACTTGGCGGCATTAGACCAGCGTCGACCAACTCCTTCTCCACTTTCTTGACGCGAGCAGTGGCTACTGCAGAAGAGGCCCTGAGAGTGTTGACCATCTCGATCACGAAGTAATCCATGGCAGCACCGTCTATGTAGCGGGGAGGTGGATCTGCGACTGCAGCAAGGGAGGGCACTGACGACGTCGATGAGCTTGGGCGGTTCGCAGGGGTTTGGAATGAGTTCCTCGAGGCCATAGCTAGGGTTCGTATGTGTGCAAGGAGCGCGAAGGGAGGTTAGAGCTCAGGCGGTTGAGTAGTTATTCGAAAGGCTACATATCTGTGTAAGGCGATGACGCGCGGCGGGCAGCGCGCGGTAGATTTAGATGCGGGTTCGGATATGGGATCAGGCTCGCTCAGTCATCGTCCCAGTCGCGTCTTGGCCTCAGGCCGTCGTGTGCCACGATGAGCAGCCTCACCTCCTTCTTCCCTTCAAGGCTTTTGGGCTCCATGCATTCCAATCCGCGCGACCGGCAGACAGATCCTCTCTCTCGGCTTCGCTTCACCCTCGAGACCATGCCTGGCTCGAGGAAGTACAACTTCACTGCAGCCACACGAGCAGAAATCCTCGCCGAACTCTACGATGCTTTCTGGGGATCCTATGCTCATCTTTTCCTTCCCAACTCAAACTCCTCTCTCCCCCTCCATGCCACCCTCAGTGAAGTCCAGGCCAGTGTTGGTCAACCCAAGGAGACTCAGGTTGTCCCGGGCAGGCAGTGTGGTCACATCTTCAAGAAAGGAGAGAGTTGCTTTCGTTGCAAGTGAGTATATGGTCCTAGCTGCACGAGATTGTCTGCTGACAGTCGCCTTAGGGACTGTGCACTTGACGATAGCTGCGTTCTCTGCTCGCGATGCTTCAACGCTACCGACCACACAGACCACAACGTGAGCTTCTTCATCGCTCAACAGCCTGGTGGTTGCTGTGACTGTGGAGATGTTGAAGCATGGCGCCAACCCATCGATTGTCCCTATCATCCTCCCGCTCCCGAGACCGTCGAATACATCGCTTCATTCGAGTCTCGGACTCTACTCAACACACCTCGCGCTCATCCGAAGACCCTAACCGGTCAAGACATCCCTCCAGTCAAGAACTATCCACACAGAGCGTTTGTTCCCCCAGAGCTAAAGGAAAGCATCTGTCGCACGATGGGCTACGCCGTCGACTTTGTTCTTGATACCCTGGACTCCTCCCCTGACGAGACAATTGTCCCTGTCAGCGAGACTGACCTTCGCCTACAACCCACTGGCGACCCTCTCATGCACGATCTATTCGCCGTTGTCATATGGAACGACGACAAGCATTCTTTCGACGAAGTCATTGAACTCCTCCACGATATTACCAACCGTTCTCGTGAGGAAGCTGCCCAAGTCGCTGACCGCATAGACGAACATGGCCGTGACATCATCGAAATGTCCACCAACAGTGCTCGTCTGCTGGAGATTGCTCAGGCCGTTGCTCAGATTGATATAGGTGTCACCGTACGACGAGCCTTCGACACGTTCCGCGAGCAGGTGTCGGCTGTCATCATAGAGTGGCTCTTAGATCTCACTCGTAGTCGACTCAGCTCTGATACACTTATTCTCCGGGAACTCCTCGCGATGGAACTGCTCTCCCCACGACGGAACTCTTCGCTACTTTCCGCCCAGGATCCCAACCGCGTGCTTCCGGATATCCATGAGCCTACCAGGCTTGACTGGCTCTTCCTCTACCACGCTCGCCTATGGAAGAAGCCTCGCTTGAATCTCAAAGAGATCTACGCGTCTCTGTTGACCGTGAGCCACGAACACAAACTAGCAACCGGTGAGTGCTATCATCTCGACGATGACATTCTCCAACCTATTGTTCGTAGCGTCTCATTTCGCCAGTGTCTACCATCGAATCATCGATGCGTACCTCCTTAGCGATCGCGAAGCCGAGACCTCCATCAAGTACTTCGCGCTCCAACTGTTTACTGTCGCTTCTGTCGCCCTGTACATTGTGCGGCACCACAACATCGTCTCGCGTCTTCTCGCTATCATCTCTGCGTTCTTCACCAACCAAATTCAAGACAAGCGTATCATATTCCCACCCAATCCCGAGGCGGAAATTGACGTCGACACCTTTCCGTTCAAATCCAAACGCTTCATGCCCGTCTTCAGTGACTTGCGCTATCTATGTCACAACGAACCCGTCCAACAGTTGATCGCTCACAATCACGAGTTCATTAGCCAATTCGCGAAGACTTGCCAGATCTTCATGTGCATCAATCCGAACAAACGTGCGGCCTCGAGTCACGTCGAATACGAAACCGATGCGTGGATCAGCGTTTTCAACGTGACGCTTTCCCTCTCCCGAGTCATCAAGGTGTATGGAGAGGCATACTCGAAAGCGACCGTCGGAGAACTCGTCGCCGCCATCAACACGGTCATGCACCATATCCTGATGTGTATCACTGTTGTCGACGAGCGGCGCGATCTCGCGCGTTTCCCACCCGTCGAGTTCCACGAAGTGGTCTATGGGGAAACCACGTACAAGATCATCGACTTCGATGTCATGGACGGCTCCATCAGCTTCCACCATTCGTTGCAATGGCTTCTCGCGGAGCTCTTCAAGCATGTCGACATCTTGGATGAATCTTCGCTTAAGACAGTGGGCCTACGTAGCCTCAGGGACGTCTGCCTAAACAAGGCGAGCGAGGAGGCCATGCTCACAATCATTGATTACCCGCTCCGAGGTGCGTACTCTCAGCCTTTTCATGATCAAGGCACTTATTGATGGTGCCTTCAGTACTCGCCATGATTGCCCAAATCCGGACGGGTCTCTGGGTTCGCAACGGCTTCGCTATCCGAGGACAACTCCTACACTACCGGGACTTCATGCTACGGGAACTATGCTATGACCAGGATCTCTTCATCCTCCAGACTGCTCTCGTTGTGCTCGATCCCAACGCCGTCATTGTCAGCATGCTTGACCGCTTCCAGCTCCTCGGTTATTTCTCAGGGGCTACCCTCCACCCTTCCTATGACGCTTCCCACTTGTCCGGCATGGTCGAGGAGTTCCTCTATGTCTTGGTGACTGTTCTCACTGAGAGCGCCAGCGCGACGAAGATGCCACTGCCCATCGCAGTACGGCGGGAGATTGTACACGCCCTTGCTGTGGGACCTTGCACATTCACCGATCTCGTGAAGCGCGTCGCAGAGCGGATGGTTGACGACGTCTGCTTCGAGCGCGTGCTGAAGGAGGTAGCAAACTTCAGGCCACCAGAATCAACGGCGGACTTGGGGACATACGAGTTGAAGGATGAAGCATTCGATGAGGTTAACCCCTTCTTCTATCATTATACTCGAAACAAGCGTGAAGAGGTCGAAGTCGTGCTTCGCAATCGGCTACGGAAGAAGCTTGGCGTTCATGACCCCGTCGTGGTACCCAAACCACTGAATATCACCAAGGGCCCATTCGTCGTCCTACCCTCTATCTTCGAGTCCGAGGTTCTTGTCCAGATCTTCTTCTACGGCATCTATAACGTTGTGACTCTCACCGACGCCACAGGAGCCGCACCACCATCCGCCGAAGCTATCCTTGATCAAATTCTGCATCTTACGATGGTCGCCTGCGTGGAACGGCCCCAGATCTTCAGCGGCCTCGCAGTATACAAGACGTACGAGGAGGGCAAGACGCTGTTGGAGGTGCTCTGTACCTTTGAGTATCACGAGAAGTATCCAACATACAAGGCTCGCGTGCAGTGGCTTGTTGATCAGATTGCCAGGCACCAACCGAGTCTGGTTCAAGCGCATCGTCGAGTCCCTGACGAGTCAAAGGCAGACGCGGAGGATCCTAAGGAAGCGAAGAAAAGAGCTGCAAAGGCTAGACAAGAGGCGATTATGCGGCAAATGAAGGCTCAGCAGGCCAGTTTCGCCGTGAATTTCGAGGATATCGATGATGAGGAAGACGATGAGCTAATCGACACCCCCGAGACACCCGTCTCCTACGGGACCTGCATCGTGTGCCAGGAGGAGCTCAACAACTCGAAGTCCTTCGGCTCGCTTGGTTTCATCCAGCCTAGCAGGCAGCTCCGTCGTCACCCTGACGGTCTCCAGTCGTACACGAACGAGGCTCTTAACTGTCCGGAGTCACTCGACAGAGCGGCGACGACCACCTCCGATATGTCGTTCCCTCCGTCGAGCTCTGATATCAAAGCGGTGAAACATATCCACGGGACAAACTTCGACGCTTTCCCCTCTTCTTCCACTCGTTTCGGCCTCCATGCGTCTATCTGTAGTCATATGATGCACCTCGATTGCTTCACTGTTTATAGTGGATCTATCCGTCAACGTCACCGGAATCAGGCGACGCGGAATCATCCCGAGAGCATTCCTCGCAAGGAGTACATCTGCCCGCTTTGCAAAAGTTTGGGTAACGTTATCCTCCCCGTCGTCGCGCCCAAGACCCCTGAAGTGAACACCGTCCCTTTCCCGGACTGGATTCGAGCCGCAAGTATCAGCATCTTGAAGTCGAAGCCAGATCCCGTTCTCGAATCCTTGCAATTCCGCACAGGCACGGGCGAATTCGTGTTTTGGACTGCGCAAGACTCTGCGTACCAGTCCCACCTACGGGTCATCGATAGACCTGATAACACGGAGCTGCACAAGATGGTCGACACCGTCATGGTGGTAGCGAAAAACGTCTCGCAGCAGTCCAGGCACCTGCGGGAGCGCGCCGAACCCGAGCCAGGTGAAAGGGGCGCGGGGATGTACCTTCCTGAGGAGCTCGTCGGGTATACAGTATCTGCGTTGGAGGTCGCCCTACGCGGTCAAGGCACTGTCGGCAAAACGGTTGCCGATAGCGTCACCGACTCCCAGTACCGTATGGTTCGCGGTCTTCTGACTTGCCTCACCAAGCTAGTCGCGCTGAATTTCAAAGGTCGGCCGGATGAAGGGCGAGAGGCTGTCCGCCAGGCGATCATCAAGCGGTTGCTGCCGGAGTGGAGTCGAACGTCCTTTACATCCTTCTCACACCCCCTGCTTCTTCGAGATCCTTTCACTATCCTGATCGAGACGGCCGCCGTCGCACCCGAGATGCTCAAACACGCACTGGTCCTCACTTACTACGCGTATCTCGCTCGTGCGGTTGTTGGCCTCGTCTATGTCCTCAACAAGAGCAGAAGCGGTCAGACTACGGTGGTCGACACGCGGAAGTACGAAGACATTTTTGGCGACACTCGGATGTTCTTCATGTCCGTGGTCCGCCACTCTCCTATATTTGAGCAAGCAGCCGATGGGGTCTTCCTTTCTTTTGGAGAGGCACGCATAGAACAGCTGCTCTACAGTTTCACGCTTCCCTTCCTACGTCGCGCCTTGATCCTTTGTCGCGCTGCCCTGCCAAACGCCTTCGTCGCGCCCTCGGATTTAGATCCGTCCGCATGCGAATACCGCCGACTGCTCAGTATCATGGAGATCCCGTCTCTTGCTGACCTCCCGAAGCACGACACGCTCCAGAATGCCCTCTCTGGGTGGTGCGCACATTATGGTCACTCACAAGCAGCCTCGCAACTGAACTGTGGCGTCATGCTTGAGTACCCCCTCATTTATCGTCTGGCGCGACTTCCACTCGTCCTTGACCATCTATACCTTGACCAAGACAAGACGATGGTCTGTTCACGGTGCAGGACCGTCCCCCTCGACGCTGCGATATGCCTCTTCTGCGGCACGACATGTTGCTTCCAGAGCCACTGTTGCATGGACCTCGACAACCAGTATCGTGGGGAATGCAACATGCACACACGGGAGTGAGTTTGATCCAGTAGGCATCTCATCTTCATATGCCTGACCACGTTGTAGGTGCTCTGGGCCCATTGGGCTCTACTTCCTTGTCAAGCGATGCTCTTTGCTGTACCTATATGCCAACAACGGCGCGTTCGGCCAGTCGCCTTACCTCGACGTGCACGGAGAGGTGGACGTGTCGATGAGGTATGATCATGGTTTTATCCGAATTCCGGTATTTACTGATAGCAATACTTCCAGACGAGGACGGCGCCAATACCTGCATCATGCGCGTTGGGAAGATGTGCACAAGATTTGGCTGAACCACGGCGTTCCGACATTGATTGCACGACGGCTCGAAGGCACGGTTGACAACGGTGGTTGGGAGACGCTCTAATGATTCATGGAACCATGGACTATACGCATCACCTCATTACGGATTAGAAAGCAATAACGCGATGTATCCTAGTATCCAATGTAACCATAATCTCGGTGTCGAAGGAAGTGGATTGTGCCTCAGATCAATGCTTGCAGCCTCGCGATACTCCACTCCGGCCCCAAGACGTAGAGAATGTCAGCGACGCTCGGACCGGTCTGGATGGAATGAGCCATGAATATAGAGAATTCACTCAACGGAGCAGATGTCCATACCTTCATAGCAGTCAGGGCATGCCGAAGGATGGTCATGTATTCCTTCTGCTTCAGGGACGACTTTGCGTTCTCGTCATGGAGCATTTCTGCGAGCACAGGAACATCCCAGCTGGCCGACACGCCACGCAGCCGAGATAGTAAGCTATGAATCACTACGTCTGCAAGCGATGTTAGCTACAGCGCTGACGACATGGTTGATAGCACCCACCATAATGGTCGTCTGAGAGCGTTTGGCGCATTTTTTGTGCCTCGGCAGACGAGTACTCGGGCTCGCGGAAGAAGAACGGGGCCAGAGACGGTAGATCGCTCAGTTTCGTGGTTCGGCCCTGCACAAATGTCAGCAGTCTCGAGCTCAGTGCAAGATAGCAAGCAACGGGACTTACCTGCAGGGCGAAGATGACGCGTTCTAGGTGAGACGTTGCACTATGTGGACTAGAACCGAGAGTGCCGTGAGAGGATGCTTGATTTGTCGGAGTGTTGCATACTGACCTGTCTGGATATGCCTCTTTGACGTATGGTTTTGCACGCTCAGCCAGTGATTGAAGACCACCAGGGCTTGACATGAGCTGCATGAGGTGGTGCTTGTTGATGAACTCCAATTTGACGGGATCCAGCACCGAGCGTCGGTGGGTCACGACCGAGAAGTCAAACTGCAGAAGAACGACCAACGTCAACGACGGCAAGGGAGGCCTCCATATGGGCGAGCTCACGTTCCGGATCATCTCTTCCATCGACATGATCGTGGTGCTATCGGGTGCTTGTTTGGACGATGGCGATGGCGACGAGCTCGATGCGTCGTGTTGCACACCCCAACCCGCCAGTGCGAGCCAGTTGAGAACGGCATTGGGTTCCCAGCCACGTCGCTGAGACAAGTGAGCGGAGTCTTAGAGGACGGCTGATTGCAACATACTGCATATTCCAGAACCTGTACATCGCCCTTCCTCTTCGACATCTTGGTTCCATCCGGATTCAAGAGAATCGGGAGATGAGCGAACTGCGGTGAGGGCAGACCCAATGCAGCATACAAGTCAAGATGTAGTGGCAGAGAGGGGAGCCATTCCTGTTTTCAACGGCGTCATCATGGCATCTTCGGTTAAGCTAGGAATGGAGCGCACCTCGCCACGGACGACGTGGGTGATGCCCATCTCATAGTCATCGACCACCGATGCTAAGTGATATGTTGGGAACAGATCCGACTTGAGCAACACGGGGTCGGTCGGTAACGACGCATGAGCGTCTTTGAGATTTCTGAAGACTAGGTCAAAACCGGGTGGCCGGACGGGGAGCCTACCATCCTAGAGTGAGTGTTTAAGTGACTCAAGTAGGGAACGAATACGGGATGAAATGGACGCTCACGTTTAACCTCACGATGGACTTTTCTCCGGCACGAACTCTCCTTGCAGCTTCCTCCTCGGTGAGGTGTAGACAGGTCTTGTCATAAGTGGAGTTTGAGCCAGTACGAGCAAGCTTTTCGCGAGTAGCTGCTAGCTTGTCCGGAGAACAGAAGCAGCGATATGCGTGACCGGACTAGACACAACCAAGTCAGCTATATTATATCATAACGGCGACGTGAAAGGCGCGTACATCGAGTAGCTTGTTTGCATACGAGTGGTATAGGTCGAGACGCTCTGACTAGGTGTGATGATGAGACGCGGTTAAGAGATGGATGGTATCGCCATACCTGATAGTACGGCGCATGTGGACCACCCTTACTGGGCCCTGAGGAGGGTCATTCTTGGAGTCGGGGCCAGGAGAGGGAGTATCACTGACCGTAGTCGTAGTCAAGACCCGCCCAGTCCAACGCGTTGCGGATACCGTCAACCGCACCGGGAACAGCGCGCGACTGCCATGGTTTGAGCGCAGGTCAGATTCGACAGATTGTAGACTGACCCTGTCAGTGTCCTCTATTCTCAATATCCACTTGCCACCGGTCTTCCTGGCGTAGAGATAGTTATAGAGCGCTGTCCGTAGACCGCCGAGATGGAGTGCGCCGGTTGGAGACGGCGCGAAGCGTAACAAGGGCGCCATGAGAGTCGTATGTCGACAATGATGCTGTTCGCAAGCAGCGATAGACTATGTTGACCGGAGAGTGTGTGTGCACTGCAAGACGCACTGAGTCTGTGAGTGCGCTGTTTCGCGCGGCTCCGCGGGCCGACAGTGCGCGAGCCGAGGCGCTCGGGCTCAGAGGACTTGGACGACATAAGTACTTACTTATGCGAGGTTTACGCTCCTACGACTCTGTACACGGCCTCTGCGACGGCCATGTCGGAATCGTACAAGGAACAGCTGGACCCAGAGTCTCAAGCCCTGCTCTCTGACCATCACCACGATGGCCCCGCTGTCCCTCCGACCCGGCCCTCCTACCGCACCTTCCGGACTCGCCACCTCGTACTAGCCTACGCTGCTGGTATCCTCTCCGCGGTCCTCGTCGAGCTCCTGCTCTGCTCTCACTATACCATTCCTTTCCTTCAATCCTCACAGTCCCGCCCTTCAGTCGAAGCAGACTTCGCCTCCCCCGACGCGGGCTCCACCGAAGTTCACCACTTCCCGCCCACCTCCCCAACCAACGTCTTTCCCTCTCTCTTCCCAACAGATGTCGGCCACGCCGGTCCTACGCCCACAGGAGCGGAAGCAGGCCTTGTTGCTACCGCGCCCTCTTATCCTCTTCACACCGGCGCCCCTCATCTCGTCTCTCCTCTGACTCTCACCAAGAATGCATCCAAACAGGACGCCAGCCCTTCCTTCGACATCTTCAAGCATTGGGGTAACCTATCTCCATGGTTCAGCGTAGAGCGAGGCTCCTTCGGCGTCGACTCGGGCCCTGAAGCTCCCGATACCTGTCGCGTCACTGGTCTTCACTTGCTTCACCGACATGGCGCTCGCTACCCAACAGAGTGGGCCTCATACGGCGGCCCTGCCAACCTCTCCGGACGTCTTCACAACGCTGCCGCAGGGTGGAATGCGTCCGGTCAGCTCGAATTCATGAACGAATGGTGAGCAACCTGACGCCCTCTTTGCGGCAGCTATTCACCGACTACAGGACGTACAAGCTCGGAGAGGAGATCTTGACTCCTTTCGGTCGTCAGCAACTCTGTACGTTCAGCCCCATATTAGCTCATCTGACTTGGCCTGACGTGTCTCCAGTCGACCTAGGTGTATCCATTCGTATGAAGTACGGCTTCCTACTCAAGAATTTCACCGAGTCGAACACAATCCCCGTCTTCCGTACCGAATCTCAGGACCGCATGTTGTCTTCTGCTCTTAACTTCGCCTTGGGCTTCTTCGGTTACCCGTTCGACGGTCAGTACCAGCAGAGCATCACCATCGAGGACAACGGCTTCAATAACACCCTCGCTCCCTACAAGACCTGCCCGAACGCCGGTGACCGCTCCAAGTCTGACCGTGGCGTCGAGTATGTCAAGACATGGACGGCTATATATCTCAAGGATGCTCTCGACCGCCTTTCTCCTCAGCTGCATGGGTACGACCTGACCATTGAGGATGTATTTACACTACAGCAGATGTGCGCGTACGAGGTATGCCTGCGAAGCGGTTGCCCTTGTTCGCCGAATGCTCACCGCTCATTCCGCACAGACTGTCGCCATCGGTTACTCCAAGTTCTGTGAGTTGTTCACGGAGGAGGAGTGGAAGGGTTTCAACTACGCGTACGTTCTATCGAAGATTCCCCCTCACATCGAACTCACCCACCAGTCTGCAGCATGGATCTCTTCTTTTGGTACGGTTCGGCATTCGGCTCGCCTGTCGCTCGAGTTCAGGGTATCGGATACGTCCAGGAGCTCGTCTCGCGTCTTACCCATACCCCGATCCCTGTACACAACTCCTCTACAAACGCGACACTTGACGACAATCCGGCCACGTTCCCTCTCGGGCAGAGCCTCTATGTAGACGCCACCCACGAGGTCGTCGTTCTTAATGGTAGGAATCCCCAGATACGCTCGAACTGTTTTCGTAGTATCCTGATTGGCGCATATAGTCATAACCGCTTTGAATCTGTCCAACTTTGCTGAGGGAGGACCTCTTCCTGCGGACCACATACCCGAGCACCGCAACTTCAAATCATCGCATCTTGCGCCTTTCGCGACCAACATCCAGTTCCAGCGTATGTTCACTCCCCTCATCCCCCCTTCCTGCACATCGTCTAATGCTCTCTCAACAGTGCTCTCCTGCGAGTCGCATGCCGACCCGCAAATCCGCGTCATCGTCAATGACGGCGTGGTTCCGTTGACGGGCATCCGCGGCTGTCCAGAGGACAAAGACGGCAAATGCCCTATACCCACCTTCGTGGACGCTCAGCGGGAGATCATCGCGAAGACGGACTGGAATTGGGCATGTCATGGGGACTGGCATGTCCCTCCTGGTCCCGCATGGAACACCACTACGGGCGACGCACCGGAGCCGGGAACGGTTTAAGTTCGCCATCGGTCGTGTGTTCTTTTTCTCGCGGTCGTAGTCATGGCTGTGTTTGTAGATATACACTACAGAACTGAGCTCTATTGGATACATGATTGAGAAAATGCCAATGCCTCAGGCTGGAGATGACAGTGAAGGAAATCCTTCTCCACGCCTCGCTATGTGTTAGGCAAGTCATAGTCAGGAAGGTCGAATTCATGGCATGTAGTATGAACTTAGTGAGAACCGGTCAGCGCTGGCGGGGAGATAGGATCTCTCCTGAGCCTCAGCATCAAAAATCGTCATTAAGTTGAGAATGTCAACTTTGACGTCGAAATTCAATACATCGTCCAGTTGCTTGCCTCGTTGTTATCTCCGGAGGTCAACAATACTGTACAGACGAAACACTTCATGGAAGGCTCCCATGAGGGAGGGGATTCGAACCCCGTTCTCCTCCTTCAACGAAGGTGTCGGAACCATCCAACAGTTTTGACTTTCGTCAGCGAACGCCATATTACCCCAAGATCCTCTTGTAGGGATGCCGTACTCTGTATTGTCGAGTTTTGGCTCGAGTCAGACGAAACACTGTATGTACACAGCAAGTCGAAGCTATAGACGCGCGCCCAATACGGTGCAAATTGCCAATTGCATCTCGATGTCAGCAGCGCTCATCCGACCCTGCCTGCCCTGAAGACAGTCGCGTATATAAAGAGGCTCCCTAGCCTGACTATTTCCCCATTCTTGTGCTCGGGCACGTACTGTCGCCAGTGAGGTCTTTACCGAGGCACAGTCTTTTGCTGATTGCAAATTACACATCCGAACACGTCTGTTAGCTTCGGCTTTCAGCAATTTTTGGAACACCCCCTCCTCTCCTCTATCCAGGAGAATTTTTGTGTAATTATGTTGGTGCGAGATTAGTTTAGCTTAGTGTTTGTACGTCGATAGTGTCGCAATGCATTTGCTTGTTGCGAATAACTTCGGACCATTTGTCGCTGATCGCTGTCGACTAGGCATTCATGCTGAAAATGAATATGAGCTTGTGTGTCTTAGTAGTGCCCGTGCCTATGGTGATTGGGGGACTCCAAGGTCCCCATGCTCATGCGCTGCTGCACTTGTACGTTATATCGGAAGTGACAATCACTCCAAGTCGACACGGTTGGTGGGAGTCATTCGAGGACGGTGCACCTCAGGTCTTTGGACTGCCGGATGTAAATTGGGGTGTGTAAGGTGATACAGGTGTATGGTATTAGGGAGAAATCATCGTGCATGTACGTCCGTATCCGCACTCAGGCCACATCACTGTAATCTCAGCGTCCATTGCTCGTCATCTCACTGAGTCGAGCCATCGCTACCACCTCCCTCATGCACTGTGCGCACGAACTCTCGCAATGCCCCATGTCGTCCGCTCAGAACCTCTCCATCGGAGGCGGGTACCCGCGGCCGCCATTGCCATATAGCTGCTTCCCGCTTACGCCACCCACAAGACTTGCAGGCGGGCCTCCGTGCGTGTAGTTGCTTGCAGAGTCTTCATCACCGTAATCGGTGCCACCAGCCAGAAGCGGATCCTTGACTTCCCAGACAGTCGCCTTCGATCCGACGGAGAACTCGAGGTCTTCGCGCTGGATGATAGAAGTTGCGCCCAGTGAGTATCCTGTGTGATGCGCCGAGATGGGATGGATAATTGAAGAAAACGCACCGTGATGCTATCCCAGTACTTGTAGACCATCATGACGCTAAGCAGCATGCAAAGGGTGAAGAAGAAGAGACCGTCGATGTAGTGCTTGATCGCGTCACAGATCGTGACCGAGAAGGCGAAAAGGATGACTTGGGCAACGGTGAAGAAGGCGGTGCCGAAGACTATGTCACCAATAGGCCAACGATCCTCGAGGGTGCGGAAGACAAGGACGAGCTGGGAGACGATATAGATGACGGTGCAGACAAGCGGCCAGAGAATGTAGACGATCCACAGGCCAATCGGCTTGGCATAGTCAAATCCGGCGATCTTCTTGAACGTTGCAATCGCGATGAAGAAGGACACGCCGAATATGACAAGGGTGGATATCCGCAGGAGCTGCAATGCAACTTGAGCCCAGTCACCTAGGCAGAGATGGCGGCCTTACTAACCCATAGTGACAGAGGCGTGCCATCTTCTGCGAACTGGAAACCGACAAAGCCGTTGATGAGAAGACAGGTGTATGCGCCAGCAACGAGACCTGTGTAGATTGCGGCAAACCACTGAATATGCCACAGTCGTAGATCAGCGCAGGACGAGAGTGAAATGGTGGGAGATGACATACGGGATAGCTGACGTTGGCCGAAGGGATGATGCCGGAGTCAAGGAAGATGGCCAAAAGCTCTATTATCGCGTAGAGGTAGAAGAACATGAGGATTTCCTTGCGACCTGAACGTAACAGCGATCCCAAACATGTTGAGCGCAACCTAGTTCGGGTATGTCATGTCGAGAGAAAACGCACCGACTGCCGTGTACTTGCTGCGAATGTGGAAGATCATGATGCCCGTCATGAATATTGCGACAATATGCACGAAACATGTCGCTTCAGACGCATGATCGTAGAGGTAGTTCCGTGAGACAGAGAGCCACCAGAAGAGACTTGATCACGGTACTCACAAGGCTGGAATATGAGTGTCCCCGATATCTCAACATTCCTGCTGTAGCATGAGGGCTCGATGCCTTGGCTGGAGCCGATGAGAGGGCAGATGACGAGGGCTGCAGTCTGGCAAATTGCGTCAAAGGAACCAAATTGGATCCCCATGGCAGAGGGAGAAGAACGAGAGACTCAGTCGGTCAAGAGAGTGTATGGAGGCCAGGCAGAGTGTGAGGTGTAAGATGCGAGTCGACAAGGGGATGAGATGGGCGGTGGGGTATGCGGGGAATCCTGTCGGCGTCGAGGTCGTCGTAGCTGATAGCAAGCAACGCTCCTCCCGCCCTCGGCGACTGCCGTGACACTGTGACATTGTGTAACCCCGGCCCTCCTCCTCGATCGTATCCATGCCCTGGCTCTCTCGTCGTAGACACATAGACAGTCGGCTCTTAACTATCGCATGCACATCTCTGTTAGCTAGAGTATAAGGTCTCTCCAATGTGGAGCCGCGTTCGACGCTAGGGCAGGACGCGTGAAAATGCTTTTTCCGCTAGTCTCTGTTGTGGTAACTGCAACGACCTTGCTTGTGATACATGCTTTAAGCTTGTGACCCTGATCTCCACCGTTCCTGCTGTTCGCTCGCACCATATTTCGGTGCAGTTATTGGTGGGAGATACATGCATCAACCTGGCCTCTACCAGGACTGCTGTGCCATACCCCTCTCAATCAAGGTGTACAGGTGCTATGTGCACAAAGACGTCTGAATAGAGTCCCGCTCCATCCGACATGTCATGGAAGTAAGCAGGCGGTCTCATTCGAGCTACCAGTCGTCCCTCCTGGCGCAGCGTGGTACAATCTCCGACTCGCGGGCACTTATACCTAATACGTGCTGGGACAACGAATTGCGGCTCACGGCTCGACAGCCCCATTGATTCTTGCTCCAATGAGTGCTGCTTATCAGATGAACCACGGTAATCCAGTGCAATCGCGGTTTGCATGATCTAGCTCACCTCTGGTTCGGAGGTTCGGGATGGCAATGCATGTCGTTGCAGTCACAGACGTATGGAAGGGACTAGGTATATGTTAACTCGTCAGGTAGACCGCTTCGTTGTGTTCCGAGAAGCAGATGGCAGCACTCCGATTCATGGAGAGAATTGAAGGAGCTGCCGCAATCGCCATGCAAAACACGCTGGGGTCTGCTAGTCCGCGGTGCGTGTTCCCTTCCTGGGACACCTGATGTGTGATTGAGTACAGCAATATCAATATGTACATAGCAAACCCATGCCTTATGCTCGCAGTTCAGGAAGCGCTACGCCCTATGGAATCGGACCGGACCAAAGTTGTCAATAATTATAGCGTGTGCGCAGTGGAGCCTCCATGAAGGGCGTATCGCAAGACAATAATATTGGCTTCCAACTACGCCGAAGCAGGATAGTGCATATGTGCCGGACCATGTGAAGGACTGCGGTTTCGTCGCCGACAAGCACAAAGGCCAGAACAAGCACCGGCGCCCAGCCCTCTCAGGCTGTACGTATGGGCGCCGACTACCATTTGCCTTCGCCTACGCCTCGACAAGACCTTCGTTGAGCCATATCGAGGAGCTGCGCCGACCGACTCTTGAGATTGGACGTCCAGCAACCTTGCAGGGAAACTTGTTTGAGTCCTCCCAACGAGGGCTAAACAAACGCTCCGATGAACGGGCCGCGCGATGATCTACGCTGTACCTTGGCCGTAAGAAGAAAGGAAAAATTAGGGCAGAAGGCGACACCGGCGAGGCCAAAGCTTCAGCGGGGTCAGCAGAAGAATGCACTGGAAGCTGAGCGCGGCTCAGCTGGTAACGCGGGACGAAACCCATAGAGTAAAGTTCCATCTGCGGATGGAGATATACTCATTTGCTCGCGACGGAAGATGTTGGCAGGGTAAATATGCAGTTACAATCGATCTGCGCGAAATATGAGAATAACCGTTTGTAGGTGTTGTTGCTCCCCTCTTGGGCCGCGGACGGCAACGACTCTTCCGCGCGAGGTCCGTCGGAGTGGAGACAGGGTCCGAATGGCGGGCGTCGAGGGGTCAAATGGAAGCAGTCATTGCGCCGACGTCAGCTTGCAGCACCGCAGGCTCGCCGCTGACGGACGTGAAAATGCGGGCTCGGCGTGTTGGTCTTCAGTGTTCCTGAACAGTGTCGCCGCCATCAGCCAGTGTGGTGGCAGGTCTGTGTCGTCCATGGGCGTGGCACTGAAGGCGAGAATCACCTGGAGGCCTGCAAGCGCTGTGAGCGGATAGCAGATGGCTGGCTGTGGGGATGATCTACTACTCCGCGGGTGAGACAGAGAGGCAAATCCATCCTGCAACCGTCAGTACTGTGCGGTGATTCTTGTTTTGGCCGGGGTGGGCGCCTGTGAGGGAGGGACGGCACAGGCACGATCTGCGTCTGGATCGGGATCATACGTGGACGAACGGGGGCGGTCCTCTCTCAGATGCGCCTTGGATCTCAGCCCGATCTGCCCTCACCGTCTCGGCATCTCATCATTAACTGCCTCCACTCCTCCAGCGTAGCGCTACTTATGTACATACTTTTCAACCACATTCTCGCTCCGTTTCATGTTCCATGCCCATCCACGCTCCTATTGTCCCCGCGAACCCCATGTCTGCATCCGCTCGGCCTTTCCCGCCCTCACACCACTCGGTACGCATTCGCTTTTTCCTCGCCCCGCACGGCCATCGGACCGCTCCATCCGGCCTCTTCTCTTGCCACGTCACAGCGCGTCGCAGCCTGCAACAATGAAATTGACAGCAATTCCTTGGAAAGTATCCCTCATGGCCCGCTTCCTGTGCGCATATCTCGAAACCAGATAGTTCCTGCTCATCTGTTCGGTCGCCTGCAAGACGGTGTTACTCTCAACAAATTCCTGCACATGTGACGGAGAAGTCTGTTAGCACCAATCTATCATCACCGTCATCCCGCTTCGCCCGCTGTTGCGTTCGTCTATTGGAATGTAAGTACTTATCTGACATATCTCAAAGACATCGTGTGATCGCATGACAGGTCCGAGACCCACGATCTTGACTCTGTAGCTCCGGAGCGCGCGGGACCATGTACCGATGTTGCATTACCATTGTTCCCATTGACAATCATTTCCAACCGCTCTCGTATTGTCCGCAAGTTGCCTACAGCCCTCCCAACCCCAGCGCTCTGACCATCAATTCCGCTGAGCGCTGCGCCGCCCAATTCCAAGTCTGCTTCAAGCCCAAACGTGGGCCATCTCCGGGACGTCCCCCACGACGTGCCACTTTACGATAAACTTATGTCCTCTGTCGCTTCGCCGTCGCAGCTCCATCTTCGCCGCCGCGAACGTAAACTAGACGCCTGCGGGACTAGACATCCGCTTTCCTCGACGCATATACTTACTCATGGGTTCGCTGCGGCAGTTATAGAGTTATCGTCACTGGGCGAGACAAATGGGCGGTACCTGTAATCGCATACCTCCCTTCTAACTGGCAACATCCGACACGCCGCTCGCTCCAGCCCTTCTGATGATCGCCTTCGTCGCTCTGGGTATGGTAGCGGCGAAGTGGTGCCACTGAGGAGATGGGTGTGGAACATCTGACTCCAGGGAAGGCGTAGCGACGGCACAGGACTCGATTGAGCACCTTTGTCCCCCGCTTACAGCCTCCGCACGCTCACGCTGATGCCGCGCGCGTGTCGCAGAACACTCGGTATGAGAGCGACATACCATCAATGGGATGCCAGACAACGGCAGACGTCCATTGGGGGTACCACGCTGACAAGCGGCACGTTGCGTTGCCACGTATCGGCGAGCGCGCTCCTCTGCATTCAACGCTCGATGTGTGCCTTGTTTGGATGATACACGAAGCCGAATTGGAACAAGCAACTCGAAGCTGAAATCACGAAGCCGCCTGCACCGGTCACGCCTTGACCGTTCCAGACACAGACACACGATAACTTGGATGGACAGGATGGACGGTACCTACTATGTGATATCACCCATCCGTGATACATTCTGCAAATGATCGCCCAGTCGCCGCTGGCGCAAGCGCGTTGTCTGTCCTTGACCCGTGAGCGATCAGGACACGCAATACGCCCAAGTGTCGCCCGGTCTCCACCAGTCCTCCTTAGCGCAGAACGACAACAACCTGTTCGCAGCCAGCTCCGACAGTCCCTGGAAGTTCTCTGCTGCGCGTTCGCGAACGGACGGACGTAGCAGCACCCAGCCCCGCGCGACCCTGCATAGAACTGCAGGTACATGATTGACGGGGGTGTCTGACAATTCTCGTAAGCAGAGCTATAACGACGCCGACGCGCGTACCTCCCAATCAAGCGACGCGGCTTGTGTATGGCCAGCGGCCGTCTTGGTACCGTTCTCGTCCGGAGCCGGTGAGGTTATTCATCAATACTTGGTTTATCTACGCCAACAGGACTGGAATTACAATAGGACCGCCATCGGCCACGGCATCAACGATTAGAGCAATGAGGAAACAGAAGACACCGGCAATCGGGTCTTCCTCTGTCGTTCGCGTTCCGAGCGCGGGGTCCCGGCGTCTGAGGTTAACAGGTTATCTCATTTACCGTGCCGCAGGAATTGCTGTATTAGTATAACGTTCGCAAGCTCTGATGACGAGTATAGGTGCTAGGTAGTCTGCAAGTACGCGAGATACGTTCCGACAACGGCCCCTTCTGTCGCTAAGCACACCCAAATGATAGTCTAGATTGGTTTGGAGCTTATTTTGCCTCGTCGCAGGCTGCTGCCGGTAAAGGTACAGCGACGGAGCATGATCCACATTGATCGTGCGTGGCGCAAGTACTCGTCGGCCGGCGATGTACGAGATAATTGCCATCCTTGATGCGCGCCAAAGCAAGAGCAGGACGCGAGACTGAATAGCAGGAGCCGATCCGTCACCGCCAAAGTTCTTGGGAGACCTGCTCAGATAGGGAATCGATGACGTTCGACTGGACACATGGGGCGCAGCGCTGGGACCGTGCCGTGGCCAGGCCCCATGTAGCGCAGACCGTGTTTCGGATTGTGAGTCACTGGACGATGTTGATTTCAGGGTGGCACACAACGCGAATAACCGTGCAACGAGGGGGGCACTGCGTAACGCGGGCCTGAGCGGACGCGACAGAGCCGAGGCGCCCAACCGGAGTATCCGTCTACGTGGGCCTCGAAGAACGACATGGCATTCCCGAAGCTGGCCGACTTTCATCAAGAGTCCGCGCGGCGCGAGCACGATCTCACGATGTTACTTCAGCACGTCGGCAGCGTTCTACGCCATTTACCGCAAGGAGGAAATGGTCCTGTACTGATCATCGTGGTGGTTTACGCATATCGGCAGTTGCGCGTGCGAGTGGATTTCATTTTGAGCCGGGAAAGGTTCGATCAGAGGGTAGGAGAGAAGTAGAGTTGGAAAGGAGATAAGTGGTGGGTACAAGAATTCATTCATGTACTTAGGCGCAATGATGAGCGGGCTCCGCACGAGTGGCAGGGGTGAACGAAGGGCCGCGGCATGGGTAGCTGTAAGTGGTTGGTTGGCATGGGATACGACTGACAAGACAACAAAGGAACGGGAGCTGTCTTGGAGAAAGAGCTAAGCAAAAGGGGGTAAGTGTGCACTAGTGAAGGGAGGATAATCAGAAGCCGAAGGAAGCCGGTGGAAGGTTCGAGGGAGAGGCCGAGGTGTGCGACTGGCTGGGGACGGATGAGGTCAGCCAAGGCAAATCGAAGGCCTGGCGTATACAAGGTTCAAGCACCTCGTCTGCCAGCAGAACTCGCACAACGGGGCATCGGATGAGCTGACGGGGTCGCATCGGCCAGCCAGCGTGCGCGCAAACGAGGCACAGAGTCCCGAGCAGTGACTTGCGACTCTCCAGGCGGACAATAATGACTTCGATGACAACCTTCCGACCGCCCATACATCCTCTCCAGACGCCAGACGATCTCCATCCCCCGGCGTCTCCTGCGGTTAAGTCTCATGCACCAATAAATTCGCCTGTATGTATCCCTTTCTAGGACTTGTCCGAAGTGTCCGGTTCTCGCTCCGGAAGTTGCCTGGACGCCACTTCGCTTCTACATATGGCAGGCCTCTTGCCATAGAGGGCGACACGGAGGGGCCCGTGACGTTTAGCCGGCTGAACGGGCCACGAGGCTATCATTCCACCCAGCCGGAACGTGAGTCGCGCGGCCAGAGGCTAAGCAAACATACTATTTGCCGACAACGTAGCACCTGCCCAAGAAAATTACGAGGGGCCAGCGGCCGGGAACAGGGAGACGGCCGTCGACATCTATTTTGGCGGGTGAGACGAGGGAAAATGTTAGCAGCCAGATGTCCTCAGTTCGAAGCAGCAGCGGTCGCACAGACGGGTCGGGACAACGATGAGGGACGCCACCATTTGCACACGCAGACGAGAATCTTCTGGCACAGGCAGATGAAGATAGAAGCGAGTTACGAGAGGCGGTCGACCCACGGGCCAGAGCGGCAGATGGAGTATACTTTGTCTTAGCACAGTTGGACAGAGAACACCAACAGAACGCTGCGCTTTCCTCGGTAACACTCCCCAACCTTGCGGTCTGCATCGCTCGGCGCCTCCATGCGAGGGTGGCAGATGTGCAAGATGCGTCCCAGATTGACCGGAACCCACTCTATCACTCGATTTACTGTCGTATTATGCGCGGGAATGCGCATCGGTACCACGCCCACCTGCCTGTTAGGGGACGTCTGCTGAGATAACGTGACTTGGAAGGCCAGAATCGTCCTCGTGGCCTGTCAGTGGCTGCCGGATTAGGGGGAAAAGGGGGAAAGGCTATGGGGAATCCCCATCTGATGGCAAGGGCGGTGATGGCGGCGGAGGGGAGGGGGCTGCCGGCCGGAGGAAGGAGAGGAAAAGAGCGATGGGTCGAGTTGTGCGGGGTGCGAAATGGGGGATCTGTGATTGATGGGAGGAGGGGAGAGACATGGCCGGATATGGGGGGTGGGACGGCCCCTGTGTGTTGTCCGTTTAGCGTTCAGACGCTCTCAAAATTGCGGTTACCGTCTTCCGCTGGATCTCAATGCTCGTCCACTCCGTTCTTTTTTAAATCCTCTCCTCTCCTCTCCGTCTACGATACGCTTCGACTACCGTACTTATGCTCTCTTCTTATTACTCCCCTTCTCGTCTCCCTCCCTCTCCCTCTCCTTCTCCAATGTCTACCGCTCCTCTTCTCCCCATCGAACTTGTCCCCCACCTCTCGTCATGGAACGATTGGCGGCCACCAAAGTCTGAGGCTCCTCTTACTCCTCCGCTCTCCTCGGGCCCCGCAAGACGCATACTGGTATCTCAGGAGCAGGTGCCCACCGTCCTCCCACCCATATCCTACTTTGACAGGAGTTTCTCGCGACATTCGCCAGGTGCGTACTCGTTCACTCGTCCGAATGCATCTCGTCTCATACAACGTCAAGTGACGCCACCGCCATTGGACGGATATGACCAGTGGGACAAGTACGACGCGCCGTCCTACCAGCTGCCTTCCGTACTCGCCCCTCCACGCTCTCTAGAACCGTCTCCCTCCTCATCCCAGTACGAGCCTCCTGAGGATCCGTTCGTGTCCGCTACGTATACGCTGGACTGGTTCGGCAGCGACTCGCAGCGGTCGTCGGGGTACATCGCGGAGAAGTTCTGTGAGATGATCTGTTACCTCTGGTTCTCTACCATCTCTAGCACATCCGCCTCGCCGTCGAAGCGTCATCGTGGCGCGCCCACGCAGCCCGACTCTTTCTCTCCTCACAGTAATTCCTCGACCGCCAAGTTGCAGTTCTCGGTGTCGCCCGCCTTCGTGCGTTTCATGCAAAAAGTATTGGAGACCACCCAAGTTAGCCATTCGGTCATCGTCTTATCTCTACACTACATATGCCGCCTCAAGGCGCGTAATCCTTTCACGTCTGGCCAAGCCGGGAGCGAGTACCGGGTGGCGATTGCGGCGCTGATGCTCGCGAACAAGTTTGTGGACGAGTAAGCGCGTCTTTGTGCCTCCTGCGACGCGTGTGGCTAACGGCGTGTCGTCGCTCACAGCAACACGTACACGAACAAGACGTGGTCGGAGGTGTCTGGCATCGAGCTGGGGGAGGTGAACCGGATGGAGCGCGAGTTTCTGCTGGGGCTGGACTTCGACCTCTACGTGAACAAGGCGACGTACGAATCGTGGCTGAAGTTCCTGACGGGGCTGGTCATGAACAAGGAGAAGGACTCGAAGCGATGGCAGCGAGCGCGCTGCCCTGCCCGTGCCTCGCATCTCCACCGCCCGCCTTGTCACAGACACGCCCACCTAACTCCATCACGTGCTCCGTCACACCGCGCCCGGTCCACCTCCCCCCGCCGCGCCTCCATCTGCGCCGTCTCCCATCCCGTCCCCGCCCACTACACGCCCCAGCACACTCACTACGCCCAATATACCCCTCCGCCCCCCTCCTACGCCGCCTCCCCCGCCTCCACCGACGGCCCCCTCCGATCCAAGCGCACCGCCGCCGACGCCTTCTCCCCCACCTCCGCTTCCTTCTCAGTCGCCCAGCTCCCGCCTGCCCAGGTTCCCAGGCGCATGCACGGCCTCGCTCTCGACATCCCCCAGCCCACCGCCCATTCCCGCGAGAGCTCCGCTTCCCCCCTCGAGTCTCTTCAGTCCTTCTCCAAGCTCTCCCTCGGCGCCTCCCCAGTCGATGCCCGTCCCTCTCCGGCCTGGCCTGTCAGGCATGACGAGTACCCGCGTACACTCGTGTCGTCCTATCGCATCGACGACCAGCGTCCTCCCATCCAGCCCCAGGTGAGCCATCCGCCTTATTACCCCCAAATCATCCCCAGTCTGACGTTTGATCACTTAGCAATTGTACTTTTACTCGCTTGCCGGCTCCCCTCTCGAGTACGAGGAGGACCGACGGAATCGCAAGGGGCGCCTTCGGGTGCATCAGGCCCCTCCGCCGTCTGCGCCCGTCTACCAGTATCCACCCTCCATGCCTATGGTTGTCCAGTCGGCGTCGACCAGCCCGTACGAGGCTCACTCGCACGTGGCCGCCCCACAGCTTGTCCTGCCGCCATTCTCGGAAGTCTCTCAGGGTTTGCAGCACGTCAATGATGTGCAGGTCACCGAGAGGACACAGCTCCCGCCCATCCACGTCGAGACTCAGCCGCAGCACACCTCGAGCATTCCTTCAGCGCCGTTTGCGAACGCAGGTCCGCCTGGCGTGCACTTCTACTCTACTTTAACGCCAGACCCAGCCCAACATTATTACAGGGTGCGTGGGCGGCAGGTATAATTCATCCATGGATGCCACTACCGTAGTATGTGTCACGTTTAGAACACTTCGGCATTGAAACATGGACTTTACAGCAGCAGCACATATTCCCTTATTACGCACCGCATCGCATACGTATCACCAGCATTCCATTCATGTCCATCGTCATGTCGCATCGTTCTATCAATTGTGCATTGTAGTTGTGTAGCAAGTTTGAACTCCGCATTTTCCCAGTCTCCTTCACGCTGCATACATACGAACGTCCCCTCGCCGCCTTGTCGCATATTGTCTTGCCATACAGTGCGGGACGTTCATCGCTGTTCCTTCGCTGTCCCGCTCTGTGGCACTTCTCTTCCCTCGCACGCTAATGAAATGAAACCAGACAAGACGAATCAGAGTTGCGAACAACATTCCTGTCTGAAACGCTGAGCTTCATCATGTGCATGGGGCGCAGTGGAGGGAAGATGCGCGTACCCCATGCGGATCACGCGGATTCGTGCCGCGGACCGCGAGCCCAGGTGTGACTGTATAGCAGTTGTGTTGGCGAAGACCCGTCCTGTCGGAGCCCCGGGATGGTGAGCCAAGATGGAGACGCGGCATCAAACAGATCGACCCAGTTTTACTTTGTTTATTATAGGTTTGTAAGCGTTCGGAGGCGGGTAAGCTCTGAGCTCTCCCTCGCCGGCGGACAGTCGGGCCTCGGTGTCAGTTACAGTCAGAGCTGGCGAGCGCGTGGTTCGATTGAGGCTGGGCTGGCTGCCCCCTTGCCTCGCGTGCGTCGGCGCCATCCGCCACTAGACCTGTGCCTACGCCGCTAATAGCTCGCTAACTCGCAGCTAGCGCAATTCCGGCACACGTAAGTTCACCCGGGCTCGCAGACGGCGTCGACGTGCCTTCGCACTCAATGAGCTGCGCTGCGCGCTGTCGGCGATGCCCAGCTCGCCCACATGCAGCGCATACGCCCATCTGCGCCACGACTCCGCGCTTGGCTGCGTGTGCGCGGTCCGCGATCGACTACGGGCACAACCTCTCAAGCGTACATTCGCATTCCCTCTTGTGCGGTCCCCTCTCAGCGCGCAGCTTGCGACGCATGCATGCTGTTCCTGCTTACGGGCGGTTTCGGTCGGTCGGCGACCGACCGAGTGCGGATATCCCGAGGAATGCAGGGACACGTCAGTGCGCACCAAGGACGGGGGCCGCGAAAGGGGCGCGGGGGTTCCAGCTGTCTCTACTGTCCCCGGCAATCTTGAGTCGTCGACTCGAGCGACTTTACCTGACAGCCCCTTCCTTGTTCCGTCCACCTTGAGGCCGTGACCCAGACCTCCCTACCGCCCCTCGACTAACGGGCTTATTGTCAGCGGCACGCTGGTGACAGCGCGAACGCCAAGTGCCCGCGTAGAACTTACGCAAACAGATGATGGTCCATGACGGTGATGGAAGCGAATCAAGTCACGTCCACCATCTGCATCCCAGTGAATGTCCAACAGTACTGCACGCTCGTCACACCTTCCGAGCCCGCACTCACCGCCCGGGCAGGTACTGATATCAAGGCGAACGACGCAAGGTCTGGCAGGTGGAAAGATTTGTATCGGAAGGTTGCCTGATTGGGGATACGTCAGAGCATCCGCTTTCGGGCTCTGGCGGTGACTCTATACATGTACTGTGCGATGTCCATACGTGCTCCAATAGGCAAGCTATTAGCGTTGATGGTAGCAGGGCGCACCTCCGCTCTCGCATGAAACCGCAAAAGCACCGGCAGCCAGCCGCCTCGATTCAAGCAGCTTGGGGCTCATCAGGCCAGCCCCGGGTGTCGGGCACCGTTCGCGATCAGAACATCTGGAGTTCCCCGTCCCTGCGATTATGCTCCATCCTGTTCATCACGTCGCAAGTGCGGATAGACCCGACTCCAATCATTGCACCGTTAAGTAACGTTTCTCGTTCACCGCGCGCACGGTAGAGCAATCGCGTATGGGCCTGCGCGCCTGAGCCTGCGGAGCATCGCCGTCCCTGCAACAACGCTCCATTTTGTGGCGCGTGGCCAAGCGACCCCGATTCATGTAGTCCAGCGGGCGGGGCTGTATACGACGATCATTGGGTCTAACGGCGAGTCGTTTGCTCCTACTCAGCAAGGCGTGGTGTAACATATATGCGTCAGCCTAGTACGGGCGATATACTCTTGGCCCCATAGCCGACTACATGCCAAGGCGAGCCCAGCTCCTGAGGCGGATGGGATCTAGAACGATTCTTCAATGCATGACGCGCAGCACGGAGGCGCATACTGGTCTAGGTTCTGAGATGAGCACATTGGTAGGTTGTTGCCCGCGATCGCCCACCACCTGCCTAACGGGTGCTGGCGGTGTTCAACGATGACTTCGGATAGGCAGCTGGATGACAGTGCCGATGGGACTGAGGCAGTGTCAACATGTCTTCAGTGCACGGTCAAGTTACAGCTGAGCCCACCGTATACATCAATGACATCGGCGTCCACGACTCTTGGACACATCTCATGGACCCGGAATGTCGTCTAAGAATCGAGCAGTGGATCCCAGGCAGTTGTCTCGATCGCAGAAGTCGGGACGCTTGCCCTCCGGGGACTCGCGGCCGCGGGGTCGCGAAATCCCCCTGCGGACGTGGCTTTCGACTTGACACACCCTGCACACTATGGCAGCAATAAGATGACGCCACGAGCAAGCTCTACCTGAAGCCGTGCACGGCACGGAAGGGCCCATCGGGGGAAGACTGGACTTTCACAGCGAACAGCAACGATCAGCAGTCTCCCAGAAGACATGGCACGGTGAGCAGTTGCCAAACAGCTGGAACAGCACCATGCCGCGGGCACAACAGCTGTCGATGGCGTATAACTGGAACGGTAGACCTCGAACGGGATTTCGCCGGCGAGGCGCTGTGAAATGTACGTAGAGGGTGGGTGAGGTCGCAGGAGTCGGTCATCTTTACTGGCTTCGCAGCAGGCAGGTCTGCTCGCGAGATGCAATATGGCCGCGCCGATACGTGCCCTGGACGAGTGATGGGGGACCTATGCGGACTGATGACCGAGAAGAGAGAAGTCGAACAGCGGTGGGTGGGTCGTACAAGGGTGGGATCGATTGCCGAATGCACGTAACACCGCATGGGAGAGTGCTGGCGTGGGCAGACTGCAGACGAGAAGCCGCACGAGACGGATGTGTTCACATCTGGCTTAGGTCGCAGAACTCGGATGTCTATATCAGGAACTTTGGAAATGATGGAGATGAGGCCTTAGCTTAAGCCGGTTTGGACACACGCGGTGGCGGCTGGTTGGCAAATCTGCAGGCGGTAAGCGGCTGAGCTGACACGCTCCGAAACGAATATCGGCTTCCGGTCTTCGGTCTATAACTGCACGGCACGGTACGTGAGTTCGTGTACCTTGGGGAAGTTAGGGAAGCGGTTGGCTGAGATGGTGAACGGAAGGGTACCCGGCAGATCCGGTGGCTGTTGGAGTGGCCCAACGCGGTAGACGGCGAGACCAGATCCGCGCGCGGGGGGTTTAGATTCTCATGGGGCTTGTAGAAAGTGGCGCATCCAGCGCCGAGATAACTTCCAAGTTCCAAATAGCTCTGTCAGACAAGTAAACAGCGATGAATTGCGTAGACAAACAAGGGAATTCCGCGATAAGCTATTTGATTAACAACAACATATACGTACACGAGGCGTTGCAACTGGTGACCGACGGTTGGTGATTCGAGACCAGATCTGAGCTCTAGCTTGTTTGAATGCGGGTTGCGGCGATCAGACGAGACAGGAGGACATTTCTGAGAATCAGAAGTTTGTCGAGGCGTCTTGCTCAGTGGCGAGTTTGTCCAGCCTAGCCTTTTCCGCGTCAAGGCGCGCGAGGTTGGTGGCGAGGAAGCCTTGTGTGAACTGATAGCCCGATACAATTCCAGTAACTAGGTGAGGAAGGCGGGAAAACGTCATCAGTGTTGTTCTCTAGTGAGAGCATAGCATATGGAAGGAGGCGAATGGGGGAAAGGTCGAACGAGGAAGGGACCAAGAGGCGGGGTCAGAAGGGGGAAGCTGTGTGAAGACGCTCACCTACGCCGCACAGGATGGTAGCGTTCCTGTTGAGGCGAAACAACCTGGCACCTAGGATGGCTAGATGAAAGTGGATCAGGGCGAGTGGCAAGGAAGGTGCGCAGCGGGTACGAAACAGGAGGACAATGGGATTGAGGATTGGGAAGGAACGTACCACTTACAAGAGCCGAGGATAGGCCAGCAAAGATGCCGTCGCGCTGAGCTTGCTGAGCGATGTATTGTGGTGTGAGAGGAATGGGAGGCCAGACACATGGAAAGATACGTACGCGTGTGGCCTGTGCGACGGCATCGATGGGAAGAGCACGTATGTCTTCTGCGGCCATATTGTGCACCTCGCGGTCGCACTTGCTGATACTCTCAATGAGTCTCACTGACGGTGATCGTGCGTTCCAGTGGCGGCAGCCTGCCAGCCAGCTGCTCGCACGCGTGACTCCAATGCGTGACCCGGTCGCGTCCCCCACGGCGTCTCCTCACGCGCCTCGACCCCGACCCCGACCCCGACCCCGACCCCGACCCCGACCCCGACCCCGCCCTCGTCACGGCTCGCCCGCCCTCTCCCCGCCTTCCCTCTCCATCTGCAAACTCAGAGGCGTTTCTGATGGCAGGCCGCAGAAAGAGAAAGTCATCATCGGACGCTCAAACCGCATATACCGACATCCAGTGTCTGCCCTACCCTTCTCATCCATGCTAGATTGTGCTCACACCGCCTTCTCCCTTGCAGCGGCCCTGGCCAGTATCAAAGCCAAACTCAATGGCAAGCGGCCAGACCGGAACTCTATCCGCACGGATCTTCTACGCCTTGCAGCTTTCGCCGAATCACTCTCCGTGCATCGCCCGCGTGCTAACAAAGAATGGTCTCACCGCATCGATGAGTTAGATGGCGAGGGTCAGCTCCACTGCCCTCCGTTTGCGTGCTCAAGCAGAACTCTAATGTCTGTGCCCAGGCGTTGCTCTATGGAACGCATCTTTGGTCCAAAGAGATGTTTTAGACGATACATATCGCTCCTTTTGCGCAGCACGTAGGTCTTCTTTGCCTTTCTTCTCCCATCCACCCACATCTGGCCGCGACAGTCAGGCTTGCTGCGTTCCGTCTTATCGAAGCCGGAATCGAAGACAAGCCAAGTATAGAATGTATGGAATCGATTTCCCCAAACATGTCTCATATCCGCACCTTATCCCCGCCATTCCCACCAGCCCTCATCCATGTGCTCCAACTCGCCAGCAAAGTTGGTGCGAGCCTGGCAGGTCAGTGTCCCGTCTCGTCCACAATGATCTGATGTCTCTTACCTCCCTGCTCATATTCATTTATGCAGACGTGGGCGATTCCGACCTTGCCGCCAGCGTCCTAGCTTCGGCAGCAAAAGTCGGTTCTGCGCTCATTATAGGTTTCCGTGTACACTGACCAACTCGCAACCTAGTATGAAGAACTTCTTAGAGCCGCGGAAGACCCGCAGAATGAGCACGCGCAGGGTATAGCCCGGGCAGTCGTGCTCTACTATTCCAGCAGAATGGAAGCCGTAAGCGCTGACTCTTTCTCGGCTCAATTGTCGCTTGACTCGTCTCGTAGGCGTGGCGAGAAGGGAATGCAGGCGTGGCTGAATTTATGCTCGAGAAAGTTGCAGGTACGCCAGCCACCGGTATTTGCAGGATGGCAGGCTACGAGCGATATGTCCTTATCTAGAGAACGATCAACGCCTCTCGCTTCTGACCCCATCCGACGTAAGAAGTGCCGTCCGATGTATTGGAAGTATTGGACGCTGATCACCTGTGCTTAAGCGGAGAACACTCGCAGGAAAGCTGCTGGTCATTGGTAAAGGAGTTCTCCAGTTCAACTCGCAAGACAATACTGCCGGGAATGGTGCGAAGGACGCCGTCAAATGGCTCCAGCGCGCTTTTGCTATCATCGAGTCCCTTGAAGACGCGGCCGACCCCGCGGAAGGCCAGCTGAAGGTAAGGCTCCTTTCGTATTACTCAATGCCGCTCACACGCAGCGGTCAAACCTAGCGATCAATCCTAAGAACTCTGTGTAAGTGGACTACGCGCCTTCTCCGTTCCGGAGCGCCACTAAATGCCGACCGCACGCGTGCGAACAGGTCGGGCATACTTCCTGGCATCCTCACAAGACCCAGAACACCTAGCCAGGGCCGAAGCATCGTTGCAGGAACTCATAGATTCCGCTAACATCTCCCTGGATCACGTAAGTCGGACTTATGTTACTGCTGTCATCTTGCACTTACAGCTGTTTCAGACATCTGCCGAGTATCAGCAACTTCGATGGATGAGGGTCGCGATTCTCAAGCGGCGCAAAGCGGCGCACACCCCGCTTCTTGAAGGTAAGCCTACCACCCGTGTAACAGATTCCGACCGCGGTCAATCTGTCGGATGCCGTAGCATTCCGGGCCATCATCGATCATATGGAATTCTCGGAAAACAACATCACAGAGTGCGTACGCCCCTCTTCCCCTTGTTCATACCTCCACGGATTGATGAGATCGTTGGATGTCGGAAGCATTTTACAAGAGTTACGCAGCCTCGGCCATGACCAGTTGAGTTTAGCGTCCCGTAACCTCATTATCGCCGCATAGACACCACGTGTGCTGAGCGTCTTGTCTAGTGCCCTGGTCATTCTTGTCCATCTACACTGCTTGCAACAAGCACTTGAAGCTCGAAATAGCGCAGGCCTAGTCTATCTGGATCGTATACTGCTTTCCTTAATTTTCCACAGTTCCAAAGATAGCAGTCATATGAAGGCAATGCAAGACGTCACGACCGCCCTCGATCGTACGTCTGCCGTCAAATCATGATATGTGTGCATTCTCTCACCAGGAGGCACTTTTCTCACAAAGTCCTGGACAACAAAGAGTTCATGCTCCCCAAGGTTCCAACAACAGCGTGCTTGACAGTGAGGGCGCCCATACATTCCAATCGGCTCACCTGAAGCTCCGGCGCAGCTGTTTTGGCAGTTCGGAGATCGGCACTATCGAGCTAAACGCTGGTCGGAAGCCGCCGACTGGTTCCTTGCCGGAACCCATGGCGTGTTTGGATCGATGTCGAAAGTATCCGACCCAAAGTGTCTCCGAAAGGCGGCGCTTTGTTATATACAATGCGGCGAACACGCTCGAGCTTCCGCAGTCATTCGCCGCTGTCCATCTCAGGATGCCGCGACCCATTACGTAGCACTACTCGCTGCAGTCCGCCAAGGTGGGTCCTTGCTTAGCGCCGTCAGAATCAAGACTTGGAGACCCATATCCAACAGGTCTGCAGGACGAAGCTGTCATCGCGGTCCACGAGATGGTACACGCATCTAACTTCAATAAGAAGATGCTACTCCTTGCCACTCGGCTGGCAAATGAAGCTGGTATGAAACATTTGCTCCTTTCGGTACTCGAAGCCTTGTTAGACGCGTCCCTCCGGGACGGACTGGTGAACCAAGGAGAAGCCGTTACGTTAGTGCGCTGTATCATTAGGCTTGTTCTCAGGATGATGTCAGAACCCGGGAGCAATTTGTGAGTTCATTTCTGAATTTGCGAGAAACCATTTATCTGATCACCCGGGTAATCCCATATGAATCCCAGTGCGGAATTTATTCCCATGCTGATGCGTCATTTTTCTACGTGTAAGCTAATTCTGAAAAATACTATCCAGTTCCACAGCTGAGCGCTGATCTTCCCGGTACACATGTCCAAAAGCTCTGTCGCTGGTGACGGCGCTTCAATCAAACCTAAACACCGCCGTCGACAGGAGAGACATCTCGTGGTTATGGCGAACCGCTTACAACGCCGCCGTGCAGGGATGCGCGGAATGGGAAGACCACGAATATACCATATCGGACCTGTTTGACATTGCAAGGCAGGTAAGCGTAACTCTCACCCTACCATGCTCCATCTTTGTGGGAAACCCTGTGCTCACGTGTGAAACGCTTGTAGTTGCTAGAATCGTATCTGAACTTCCCGGCGGTCGACGCCGAGATAGGCCTCCACGTGTTCTTGATTAATGCCTCCTTTGCGGGAGCCGCGGGAAGAGGTAAGACTCCGACCATATTCGCACTCAGTCGCAATCACGCTCCGCTGCTTCCAGTGTTCGCATATCGTCATGAGGTGACAAGCGACGCCGCTGAGGAAGTATGGCAATTTTGCATGCGTAGTTTCCCTTCTGCTGATAGAACGAATGTCATCTGTGCTAAGACGGAACGCCGTAAGGGAATTGGGCAAATTATCACGACGAGCAAGGATCGGATCCAGAAAGTACTTCGAATAGTAGATGCGCTCAGAGAGGAAGAGATCCAACGGGCGCACTCGTTCCTCAACGTCTTATCCGTGTTCGAGGCGGAGATCGCGTGCCATACCAAATCCTGGAGCCGCATCTCAGAAGTCATAGAGGTATTGCCTCACTTTTACCATGCCGAGAACACCGCCAGGAATCTGACCAGTCGTTCTGTAACAGGAAACCGCTCGCATACCACTTGTCGACTTGGGAACGTTCGAGGCAATTGCAGACACATTGGTAGGCCCTTCCGTTACCCACCAATCAGATGACTGACGATGTGCCGCTCTTCTATCTCCCTAGTGGGTGGAGAAAGATTGCCCCGTAGAAGGTACAGACATTCTCCTTTGCTTCCGCCGGAGCTCAAAGGATGATACCGGAACGTCAACTCACATGCACCTCGCGATATAGTTCTACTTGCTGCGCTTGAGGTCCGTTTATCCCCCGCGCCTTCTTTCGATGCACGATGTGACCTTGAGTGGCCTGATCTCCTCGGACGGAACCTACCATTGCCCCCGTAACCTCTATCCGGCAGGCTATCCTACACGCTAGCCTCGACCGTGCTGCCCTGTCAGTTGAGAAGTTTTCGAGATGGCTGCGGGCGATATGCACCATCCTGCTATCGCGGAACTCGGCAGCAGATCGTGCCAAAGCCATTGGTTATGTCGAACAGGCAGTTGACGTACTCCAGGAGCACGGCGGGATGGATGATTCTCAGGTGCGCGTTCGCATGGATGCTGTAGAACCAATGGCGTGCCGAATCTGAGGTTTGTTTTGGGCTTGCAGGCATATCCCGTGGACGAACGGCATTGGCTCATGGGGACGGTCTACAATACGGGTATAGAGTGCTTGCAGTTCGTCTCGATCCTTTACTGTCTTCATTGCACCACGTCATCTTCACGAAATTTCCGTAGTGCGTCGCTCTTGGACGAGGCAAAGAGGTGGTTTGAAGCGGCCGCTACGATCTGCCGTTTCGTACCCGACGGGGACGCTCGTGCAGACAGGGTGAGGCCCATATTCATCTCCGGTAAAGCTCAATATGTACTGATGGAGTCGTTCCTCAGGTCTCTCAGACTTACACCTCACTTCTTGCTCGTTTCAGCCGCTAGCTCTGTCTTGAACTCCGGCGCCAAGCTTTCGTTACTGCCAAGGACCTTCTGGTGGCTTAATCCAGGAACAATAGGTCTTGCTCTAGCTCCTGGTACGGTCTGGGAAACATCTGCCTTGGTACTTGACGGCTCTGGCTCTCGACTATCACACTGCTCTGGCCACGTCTCTATATCCTATTGATCTATAGTAATGAAGGAGCGTCACCGCACCGAAGGCGATGGCTCAGATACCTTCAACGTGGTACAGGTGGAGTAGTAGTTCATAGACGTCTTTCCGGTTGGGATAAATGTACAATTGCTACGACCTTTGTATCGAACACATGCATTTAGACCCAATATCATAGGCGTGAGTGCTCATCTTCGCGTACGATACCGTTCGCCAATTGTTCGAACAATCTTAGACCTTGGGCTTACATTGGGGCCACCTTGAGCATTGATGAACGGAATCCTCGCTTGGTAGACATCGGTTCTATGCTGAGACATGTTCAGCGAGTAACGTAGCACCCTCTGGAAATGTTATTTGTCGTCTCAGTTCCGAGGGTCCTGAGTGCAATATGTAATATCGCAACCACTGCGTACGCCGACAATTACCATAAAGGGGTGGATCATCTAGCGCCAATGAGGAGGGCTAGCGAGTAATCTTGCCGGCCGGGCGATGACGTCCGCGGGGTCCGTCCTTGCGCTCAGCTCTACGAGTACACCGAGACTGAAAGCATCCTGTTGTCGTCTTCGCCGCTTCCGCCATGACGGACGTGTATTCGCTATTCACATTTCCTACGACGTCGCGCGGCTTCAGCGCGCTGCCCTCGCAGCCCCAAGCGTTCCCGAGCACCAAGGATTCGTCCCGGTCTGCTTCTCCCCCACGCAAGATCGCTCGTCTGGATGGCGCGTCTGATGCTCACTCCGCTTCTGCCCCCAGTTCGCGCGCAGGTGTTGCTGAGCCTGCGGACAAGAGGGGTCCGATTGTCCTGCGGGTCGTTGGGCCATCAAGTGAGTGATTGTCTCTGTGCACGGATCTGCAAGGACACTGACCGGGGGCTCTCAGTTCAACCTACTCCTGACGGTGTGAGCAATGAGGAATACGGCCTCGTTAGACGCACTATCAAGATACTCCTTGATCCAGAGGAAAAGTCGCCCTTGCCGGCTACGTATGATCGCATCTCTCGTGCTTGCCGGGCTGTCGTGAACGAAGCGGGCAGAGGGGAGGGACTGTATGATTTCCTGAAGATGGAGCTGGAACGGCGAGTCAGTAAAATGGAGGAGAAACTGGGGGGTGAGCCTCGCAAGAGTGTGGATTGGCTTGTTCCTTTCACGGAGACTTGCGAGTGGTTTGAGAAGCAAGTGGTGAGTCGGATCCTTCCCCCGTTGTGCTATCTGCCCCTCAACTTTCGTATCACACCTTGCAGGGCTTGCTGCAATCTCTTCTCGCATACCTTGACACGCTCTATGTTGCGGAAAGAGGGCATTTAATTGGGACGAAGTACGTCTTGTCCTAATTATTCATAAATGTCACTAACGTCAAAACTCAGGCAATTGGCATACACCATGTTCACCAATACAGTCGTCAAGAGCGTTAGAGTCACTGCGGCAATCATGGATGGTATTGCCGACTGGCTTGAATGGGAGCGGACGCACAAGTTTGTCTCGATTCCTCATTTCGTTCTGTCGGTTTCTGTCGTCGCTAAGTTCTCATGCCTAATCCTAGAGCGACACATCCCCTTCGGTCCTACCTTCCCAAGCTTGTTCGCCATATGCGGGCCCATGATCTCTATGTGGAGATTATCGAGACACCGTACCTCAACCTAACGCACACCTACTATATCAAAGAGTCCAATGACCTTGCAGATGGTAACAAGCTCAAAGCGGACGAATTCCTGGAACATGTCAAACGTCGCTCCGCGGAGGAGCGAACTCGGGCAGACGAGGTATTGATTGAGAGCAGCGTGAAGTCGATACATGATACTACGGACAACGCCCTCCTTGCAGGAAGGCTCCAGTGGTTGGCCAATGACGGTGTGCTACATATTGCTCCTCCAGTTCCTTGTCTCGTACTAACACCTTCATTGTTACAGCACTTGACACCCTTATCAAGGGCCGGAACGACTCTCAAATCAAGTCGATGTACGAGCTGTTCGCCAAGGTCGGCGGCCTTAAAGTGCTCAGTGCCGCGTTCAAGGTGCACGTTCAGGTGAGACTGTTGCTCACCCAGTCCAGCCCTTTCCTGGTTATGGACTATCGCTACAGAAAGAAGTAAAGGGTATCGTGACGGACGTCGCAAATGACGAAGAAATGGTCCCACGCCTTCTCGAGTTCAAAGCGTTCGCGGACAAGCTCGTCGCGACTTGCTTCGTCGATGCAGTCCCCTCTCCTCCCGGCACAGCACCTTCACAATCCCTCGCATCCTCCTCTAGGACTCCCACGGCGGCGGCTTCTCAACCCGCTGTCCAGCCCAACCGAGACTTTGCTTACGGCCTCATCGATGCCTTCCAAGCCGGCTTCAAGTCGCGCCGGATCAAGCCCGCAGAGATGATCGCAAAGCACTTGGATAAGGCCATGCGGCGGGGCCAGAAGGGCAAACGCGACGAGGACTTCGCCGCCGAGCTCGACGAGGTCCTGGCTCTGTACCGCTTCACGGACGACATGGACGTCTTCCGCACGTTCTACCAGCGCGCGCTCGCCAAGCGGCTGCTCCTCGGCCGCAGCGCAAGCGACGACTTTGAGAAGGCGGTGCTGAAGAAGCTCAGAGAACGTGAGCCTTGAAGCGAGCCCACTATATGCGCGTATATACTCACTCGCCTCCGCGACGTTGGTGCAGAATATGACCCGGACTTTGGCAATGGGGACAAGATGTTCAACGACCTTGATCTGTCGCGCGAGTTGATGGCCAGGTTCTACAAGGAGAAGAAGGTGGACGAGTCGAGTTCGCTGCACAAGCTGACGGCTATGGTCCTGCAACGGAGCTCTTGGCCGTTCGCGGCGCGCAAGACGGACATCCTTCTCCCGGGATGGGTTAGCTGGTTTCCTCAAGTCCCATTGCGATCCCATGCTGAATGCGCTGTAGATGCAAGATGACCTCTCTACCTTTGCGAACTACTACAAGTCGAAACACCAAGGACGAGCGCTAGATTGGGACCACGCCCTAGGCACTGCGACGTTGAAGGCACGCTTCAAGGCGGGCAACAAGGAGCTCTCTGTGAGCCTGTACCAAGCGGTCATCCTGCTGTTGTTCAACGAGGAAGAGGAACTGGCGTACGCTGACATCAAGGAGCAAACTCGATTAGGTATGTCGCAGGAGTATGTGCATGCGCATCTCCCCTCAACTGTGAGCATTCAGACGACGGCGAGCTGCAGCGGACGCTGCAAAGTCTCGCTTGCGGGAAGAAGCGGGTGTTGAAGAAGACACCGGCGGGGAAGGAAGTGAACATGACGGACACGTTCCTATTCAACGTCGACTTTACGGACCCACGCCACGTCGTCCACATCAACTCCATCCAGTCCAAAGAGACGGTACGCATTCCGCTCGCTGTCTGGGGGTGTGTTCGGCCTACTGAGGAGCCTGTGAACGCGTGTAGCCCGAAGAGACGAAGCGGACACAGAGCTCGATCGAGGCGGACCGGAAGCACGCGCTGGACGCCGCGATCGTGCGGGTGATGAAGGGCAAGAAGGAGCTCACGTACGAGCAGCTGAAGACGGCGACGATCGAGGCGGTCAAGAACCACTTTGTGCCCGAGGTGTCGATGATCAAGAAGCGGATTGAGGGCTTGGTGGAGCAGGAGTACTTGCGGCGGGACGAAGAGGACCAGAACCGGTTCTTCTACGTCGCGTAGGGGCTACGACGTTTCAAAGAGCTCGGATGCGGGCGGACCTAAGACACGTGCTACCGGAGCCGGGCGCGCGGTAACGACTTAAGGGGGAGTGCGACTACCAGTGCGATAGACTAGTTGCAGTCAAGCTACCCACTACTCCAGGGCGAGGCGGCGAAGTTGGGCATGTCGTGAATGGACGCGCTCGAGAATGTCAGGCTTTGCGCGACGGATCTGGACCACGGTCGACTGTGCCTAGAGTGATCCCTGGAGACCTGGCCAGCAGCCGGGCGACACACTGTGATGCGGACCAATAGTGAAGTGTGTGTACAGTCCGCTGAAGCTGAGAGCTGGCGGTGGCCACCGCGGCCACCCGCGCTGTTGATGAGCGACGCTGAGAACATCGAGACCGTTGAGTCCAGCGAGTCTGGCGGACTCCGCCGGACTCCGGGGATCACATGATCTGGCCAAGCAAGGCACTGCTGATTGCCGCTAGATCCCCCTGGCGCCTTTTGCGAATTTCTTGTGCCAGCGCAAAGGGGTGCACGTACATACTAGTTCGTGGCAACACTAGATACAAGCCATTGACGCGTCCACGTATAGTATCGTGTTGTCTACGGAATATATGAGACTAATGGCACGAACCCTGCCACTGGCGAATGTAAACCAGCTCGAAGAAACGGCTTCCGCCGTCCTCAATCGGCGGTAGTAGGTAATTGCACACAACATCTGTCTAGTGTAATCGGCGAGCCCTCATCTAGTCTACATCATAAAATAACATACAAGCCCAATGCAGTTGTCACTTGAGATCGCTTTTCCGATACAATATGACGTACTCCTCCATGCCTCCCTCCAAGTACACTAATTGACCTTTCCCTACTGCATAAACCTGCTCAGCTGCCTTGGAGACAAAGGACTGGTCATGGGTTACGATGTGCACTGTGCCCAATTATCAATAACGCCTCCATCTCCAAAGTGCCTCTGTCGTCAGGTAGTTGAGGTGGTCCGTCGGCTCGTCCAAGACAACTTGAAGAAACTGGGGAGACGACCTGAACGTCGCCAAAGCGAACACGATGGGAACCATCTAGCTCCCGCTTAGGGAGCGCCAGGCTGGAGAGCGTTGGCTCTGATCCTGTACTTGCCAGGTGCGCACGGAATCGCTTGCTCCGCGCACTCCGGATTCCTCTCCTCTATGAAGGAGAGAGCAGAGCAGGGTACTGGTGGAGCTCGTCGACATGATGTTGCGCGAAGTAGCCAATCTTTGCAGCAGGGTGTTGGGTATTCTTCCCTCTGACATCTGCTGATGCTGGCACCCCGATGATGGTCTTTACGGACGTTGTCTTCCTCCTGCTATTCGTCCCCATACAAGGTGGGATGAGCAGCAGCGCCGCGAAGACCTCAATACCCCAAACTTGCGGGAGCGACCTTAGGATAAGTATGCATGTAAATGAAAAATACCATTAAAATCGACTTCTACGCTATGCGATACAATATAATACGTATGGGCAGGCAGTAAGCAGGAGCCGAGACAATGAAGTGGTCGTAGATT